AGAAGAAGAGTCGCGGCAGGCGGAGGCAGGCGTGTTGCCGGTAGAGTGATTGACAGCTGGCGACAGAAACGAGGGACGATGGTTGTAGTAGCGAGTGCAAGTTGCAAAAATGAAACGTGGGAGCGAGCGATGGAGCGAGCGAGCGGCAGATGGGGTGGTGCGTGGTGTGTGGTGCGTGTGTGGTGGTGCGTGGAGTGGACGGGCGGACGACGGGCGGCGGCGGCGGCGGCGGGAGGAGGGATGGAGGGAGGAGGAGGAGCAGGAGGAGGCGGCGGATGGAGTTCCAGGTTGGTTCGCGCCTGGGCGGGTGCAGCTGCTGGCTGGCTGGCTGCGGTTCTCACTGGGCCTCCAGCTCACCACTGGGCAGGCCAATGTTGACGGCGGCGGGCGACTGTGGGCGGGTGGGCGGCGACGGGCAGGGTAGCGTCCAAGGCACCACCTAAAACCGGGTCGTGGCACGGGGGCCAGGTCAGGTACTTTCAGGTTTGGTGGCAAGGCACAGCCCTGGCGTGCCTGGTTGGAGGTACCTGCCCAACCCGACCAGCCTACCTAGCGGGCGGCCCCTCCCCTCCAGTCCTGCTATGGAACCTGCCCTGCCCGGTGAAGCTGCCCGCGAGTCGCTGCTGCCCGTCCTGGGCCTGGCCGAGCAGTTGGCCGCCACCTATGGCAGGGGCACAGGCCTCGGGTGGCCTGCCTGCCTGCCTGCCTGCCCGCGCCCGGCGCAACGGTGCCCAGGCAGTCCCAATTGGAGTTTGGCCCGGCGGCGGGCCCGCGTGGAGGTCACTACCAGGATATTTTCTACCTAGGGCGCCAGGCCAGGCACAGGGGCTCCCGTCTGCACTGTGTCGGTACTCTCCCCCTACACGTAATGAGCCAGCCGAGGCCATGCTCCTGCTCCGAGGCCTCGCAGCGGGCCTGAAATGTCACCGCCTGCTTGAGGTGCAGGACACGGGGAATCGGACAGGAAAAGAAACGGTGGAGGGGGGGAGGGAGGAAGCGCCTCGTCGGGCCCAAAGCTTAAATGCACCCGAGGTCGTTGCTCGGGCCACGACGGCCACGGACGGAGCAACACACGGGGACGCGCTCACGGACAACAGACATGCACATGATACCTACGCATACACGTGCAGCTCCATCACCGGCACCTGCGAGAGACGAGGGGAGGAGAGGGCCGTGGTCGAGCAGCAGCAGCAGCAGAAGCTGCAGGCGTGGCGCGCGCACAACGAGATGAAGGCCCCTTCGCTGCAACGCGACCAGCTCCAGGGAAATGGGACGGGAGCGCCGCATGTCAGTGCAAGTCAAGCAGCATGGTCAGATGGGCAGACAAGCAGGGGCATCCCCCCCCCCGTCGGCTTTTGCGCCGTGCGCGTGGGTAGTTAAAACGTTAGATGGGAGATGGGATGAGAGGACGTCGGCAACGGGCGCATCAAACGTGTCCATCCCCCACAGTAGTTACCCGGACCCTGTGCGTGCTGCTGCTGCTAGTGGGAATGTCTGCGACGACGGCGACGACAAGGCGAGCTGGACGCCGACAAGATACAGCATACGAGGACAGCAAGTCCCTTGCCAGCCAACGACGGCTCACGGCACTGGCAAAGCCCCTCTCCGCAGCCACCACCGCCAACGGCAACAGCAACAACAAACAGCAGTAAGAGCAACAGCCATAAAGGGTGAGCGACTCGGCCGGCTGGGCCCACGGCATTGGCGCCTGCAGGTACCGCGAGTCGAGTGCGGCGGTGGCGGTCCATGATGCATCCATCTGACTCTCTGACGCGTGGATTGGGCGGCTTCGAGCACTGTATTCCGCCAGCCAGCCAGCCAGCCAGCCAGCGCGCACACTTGATTAATGGCCACAAGGGGCTGGCTGGCTGGCTGGCTGGCTGGCGGAATTGGCTTGGGTGGGCAGACGCGACCACGCGGAAAAAAGGGGGCCGCGATCAAAAAAACTCAATCACAGGGGGAGCGCATCTTACGTCGTAGTATTAAGGGTCGACCTTACCCCGTCGCCTCATCTCCCGCACCCAGCCGTGTACCCTGCTACGACGGCAGACCAGGACGATAACCCAGGACGCAGACACCGTAGGCAGGCCAGGGTAGCGTTTTCTCTCTGCCTCTCTTTCTCACGATCCACTGGAGGCGGCGCCCCCATTCCCCACTGGCAAACATTGAAAGCGGATCCCGCTCTCCATTGCGCATTTTCCCAACTCTGCTTTAGCTTCAGGCTCTTGGTTATTGCGACGGGCCGCGATTCGCCTGTTCTGCTGCTGCTGCTGAGGCGGCGGCATGTGGTGGCGAGGGGAATGAGAATTGCCGGAGATGAGGGTTCCGTGCTGGGTTAATGCACGGCACTGGGCGCGCGAGCGAGCGAGCGGGAGCGATGCCCCCGGGAAGGAGGCCCGGCACAACGGGCAAAGCGACCAGAGATATTAGTAGTAGCTACCTACAGCCAACGACGACATCCTTCCATCTCTCGAGCTGGTGGCTTCTCGACCGGAGAAATCCCCAAGGGTTCGCGAGCAAACATCTGCGACAGCACGATGCCCGTCCCCTGGGGGGAGGTTCCATGGATTCATGGAAGCATGGTTCTTCCCCCTTCCCGGCCCGCACAATCCTCGAGCACCCCCCTGACCAGCTGTGCGCTCGCGGTTTCCCCCCTTGCCCGGCGCGAACCCCAGCGCCACAGGCCACCAACGCAGCGGGCACCGCCCAACTGGAACGCCACAAGCGTCCACGGGTGTGTCTTGTATTGTGTTTGCCCCTGAGGCGAACCACCACCCCCCGATCCAAAAGAAGCAACGGCGCCGCGGCCTGGCCCCACGGCTCCCTTCCAGGTTCCAATCCCAAACTCAAAACCTGCCCGCTGCTGGGTGGGTGGTGAGCGCTCGGCACAGCTTCCTCTGTGCGCTCTGTGCTCTGCGGGCGGCCAGTAATAAGGAGATCCAACAGGTCAAAATTCAATCCATGTGCTGCTTCTTTTCGCTGTTGCCTCGCAGGGCCGCCAACGACTCGACTCGAGGCCAGCCAAGTGACCCGGCACTGCGTCTTAAAATAGCACCCGTGTCGCCGGCACTGCGCAATGCCCCCCCGTCGTGCGCTCGTATATATTATGCACTTCGTACGAGTTGATGAATTATATTCCATCAAACTCAACACATTGTGCGCAATGCGTTATCTGCGGTGTGAAGCACTCCCGCATGGACTCCGTCTTCTCCAGTATCCTGGACGGTTCGTGGCACATGTCGTCATAGCCGCCACGCCTCCGCGCGCGCCCAGCCATCGAAAACGGAAACGAAAAACCTCGAACACGGGACCGATTCGAGACACGTCAAGAAAAGAAACGCAAAAGGACGAAAAGAACAAAAAAAAAAGGGGGGGGGGGGGCCCTGGACCTGGCCCTTGCTGGTGCGGCGCCCGCGTCCCTCCCCGCATCCAGCCAGCAAGCCTCCTGTTCCTGCGGCCTGCCCGTCTGCCGACTGCCTGTCTGCGACACACACGGCATGGCGACGTCACCGCGCCGCCGACGAACTGAAACACTCCCTCTTGAGAGCGCTCGCTCGCGCGACCGGACCTGTTGTCTCGTGTCGCGTTTGCGGAATGTAGACTCACACTCATCAGCGTCATGCGACGTCATGGACGGAGCACAATCTCAACTGTGCCGGTCTTGTCGTTCGTGAGTTTGTCGAGAGAGCTCGACGGCCACATAGAGCCACGCGAGGTTCATTTGAAGCTCTGCAGACTGTTGGAGACTGCCATGCAGTATACCGTGGCTGATCGCTAATGTTCACACCGGGCTAAATTCATCTGAATCTTGTTACAGAGCAGCGCACGGGGTAACCGACGCATAAAACCCCGAAGCTTGCACAACCATAGGCGTAGCTTAAAAACATCGCTCTCGGCACGGGTTCCGCGCACGTAGTACGCGCCGCGACTCCGCCTCAAGCTTCGCGCGTGTCTATTCTCGTCCGCCCTCGTATTTCCCTCACGTTTGCCACATATGCTCGCTCAGCCCCAGCAGCTTGTCGTCCATCCTCCTCTTCGCCGCCGTCGCGATGCCTCTCTCCGGGTTCGCCATCTGCTCGCTGAAGCACAGCTCCACCAACGCCTTGAGCTCGTCGTAACTGAACCTGTTCGACTCCGAAACTCCGTCTTGGCCCTTCTCCTTGTCCTCCTTGGCCTTCTCGACAATGGCGTCCGGGCCCTTGTCAAACAGCGCGTAATAATTTGCTGCCCTGGTGAGGTCCACGCCCCCCTCAATGTTCTTGAGGTTCTGCTGCAGCACGAGTATGTTGAGCTGCATGCGACCACAGCCCTTGCCGTTCATGGGCGAGGCCATGCGCGCGTTGGTCACCAAGTAGCAGTTGATCAGCAGCCCGAGGCCGGTTCTGATGAAGGCGATTTCCTTGTCGCGAAGGAAGCGGACAATCGTCTCATCAAACATCACCAACTCAAGGTTGAGGCTCAGGATCTGTGGATCCGGTTCCCTGACTTCTTGATCCAGGAGATACGGTGCCAGATCCGGCGACAACGTGTTGCGCAGCGAGTACACGATCCTACAGCGCACCTCCATGTGCAACGTCAGCAGCGCAGTGCCGGCCAGCTCCTCGTACGAGGTAACAATCTTGTCAAATGTCCTAAGATCAGGTCAGCCTAAAATCCCCTTCTCATGCGGCGGTCGGCACGTACTGGACAGTCTCCTGGGTAAGCGGAAGATGGACCGGCCCTTCATCCGAGCTGAGCTTGTTGGGGTCGTTCAACAGCGTCCACCGTCGATTAGCCTGTCGTGGCAACGCTTGCCGCGATGAGTCCGTCTCGTGCATTGTTATGTGCCTCAAGTCCGAGATCTTCGCCGCCAGCCACTTCATGCTCGTGTAGAGCAGGCACAAAGATGAGATGGTGTCCCGATCCTGGATGATGTCGGTCATCTCTAGTCTCGTCTCGTTCGTTTGCTCGATCAGCAAGTGTATCTCCTTCTCCAGGAGCTGCGGATCCAATTCATCCTCGGTCCATAGCTTCATCATAGTTTCTTGCAAGTCGTCTGGTTGCACAGAAAACCGAGCTGAGGCTCTGAGGTTGCTCGAATCTGCTGCTTGCTCCTGGGTCTTGGTCACCAGTGACTTGTACCAAGTGAAGCAACGCTCGTAGTACCGCGACATTTGGTTCACGATGAGGGAGCTCAGAGCCTGGTCAGGTGGAATCGTGCCCAACATGCGGCAAAACGACGTCACTACCTGGAAGAATGCCGTGGCGCCCTTGAACACGGGCTTTGCGGCGAATTGGTTCCATGCCGGGTCCTGGGTGAAGGAGTCGGCCTCGCCAAAGACAGTATCGCTGAGCTTGTCGAGTGTCTCGTCCAACTGTGGTTGGAACACGTTAACAAGGAAGTTATCCAGGAATGTCGTCAACGTGCTGGTGGCAAGGTCAGAGCCTGGGGGAACGATGGTCTTTAGTCGCTGGAGGAAGATGAGGGTTGGCGGCAAAAGAAGGCTCATGTTAAAGACGCTCGGCTCCACGAGCGACTTGTACGAGCCGATGGTCTGCTTGGCGGCACCAAAGCTGCCGGTATCGCGTCTTGTAAGGCCAGGCTCGGCAGTGACCCGATTCTTCTTCAAGTCGGGTTTTCGCGAGTTGCTCGTCAGGCCCGGCACCGTCGCGTGAATGATACCCTCGAGCGCATCGTATTCGGTCACCATATCCACCGACTTGGAGTCCGCCTCTGCAAACTTGAACAGGTGCTCGCGCATGGCGTCCTTGTTACCGTTGAGGTTTCCTCCGGGCGTCGGCGAGTCGAACTGATACACATCGGCGTCTGTCGTGACATAGTTGTGGAGAAGAGACCTGATCTCGTTCTGGTATAGGTTCCACAGTTCTTTGAAGCTGCCGAGCAGGGCAATGTTGTTTCCGGCGCCCTCTCGTCGGATGAGTGACTTGATCGACTCGTGGAAGATTCGATGGCCCTCGCCTATGGCTTCAAATTTGCCGTAAAGTGTCCACAGCAGGTCATAGATGACATCGGCCCTCATCTGCAGCTCTCGAGTCCCGTACAGAAGCAGTCCTTCTGCCTTGCCGTTGCCTCCCCGAAGACTGCTTGGGTGCCGTTGGTCAACCTCGTTGATCGTCTCATTGACGATACCGAAGAGCTCGACAGGAAGCCTCTGCTTCAGGGTCTCGACGGCGTTTTGTAACCTGCCTAGCTTGTTGAGCGCCTCGACTAGCAGTGTGACGTAGTAAAAGGTATCCGCCTCCGGATTCTTCATCGGGTCCTCCGTCACGGCCTTTTCCACGTCAATGGAGTCCAATACAAGGTGGAAAGGCGAAATGGTGTTGGTATCCCTGTAATTGTCAGAGTAGGCGCCTTGACTCTTGGCCAGGCTCTGCCATCTCTCCTGACAGTACGGCGACTTGAGGTACAGGTGCTCGTGGAGCTCCTCGACAAGGATGTCCATCAAGGCCGTCTCCTGGTTCGCCAGGTAGCTTCTCAAGTCGCTCAAAGCGCCAATGCCATCGAGTTCCGGCCGGCGGAGCTTCCGCAACGCATTCTGCAGCACCTCGACCGCCGTTAGGAAGCGCTTCTCAGATATCCGGGCCTCGAGCTGGTCTGGGACGGCGCGAAGATCGTCCAGTTCGTTCAGCGTCTGCAAAAGTTCATCGTAGCCGTGCGACGTCGCCGACAGCTTCTTGAGCTCGGGGTCGGTTGAGCATAGGCTCGTCTTGGCGGAAGCAAGCGACTCCTTGAGGGCGCGGACACGCTTCTGCGACGCCTGAATGCTGCCCTGGATTTTGTGGAACGTGCCGATCGAGCTGTTGAAGCCCTGGTGATGCTCGTGCACGATGTTCTTGAGCGAATCTTGCAGGTAGGCATGCGTCTCCTGAAACTTGCGGTACTCGTGGGCGCGGCCGACGGAGCTCGAGTCGAGGAGCTGCAGGGCGAGCTGGACGGGGACGCAATCGTTGTCGCATAAGGACGGCCACTCTGATCGGATATGCTCCAGCACTTGGGTGATTTGCCTCTCCGCGCTCGTCTCCCGGACGTGGGACCGCGATGGCATTGCGCGCACCGATGGGGGAGGGCCGCGCGACGACGAGGTGGAGGGGCGGGGGGCGCGCGACGACGAGGTAGACGGGCGCTGGGCGTACCTGTCCGAGGCATAGCCCTCGCCGTAGGGGTCGTACTCATCGTCGGGACGCCCCATGTTGCCATAGCCGTTGCCGTTGCGCATCGGCGGCGCGCCGTAGCGGTTCGACATGCTGGCGGCGGCGGTCGTGCGAGGGGCGGGAGAGTCTCAGGTTCGTCGGGGGGTCCGCGGGGACATTGTCGACGGGGCGAGCTGTGCGAGAGTGTCGTTGCTTTGCCCCGGCGTCGTCTGCTCTCGCTGGTCGGTGCGCAGTCGTGGCACTGCGAGGGCCGTTGGCGGCGAGCGTTGGGAATCGTAAAGTTGGAGTGCTTGAGGAAGCTTGAGGAGCAGGCAAGCGGGAGGTGCTGGGCTGGGCTGGGGTGCTTGCTGGAGCTTGTCACTGTCACGGGTGCACGGACCACATTAATCCATTCCGCGTGTCTGCGGGACACCTCAATCACCTGCAACCTCAACCATCGCAACTCCAGCTTCACAATCCGAACCCAACTACCAGCGACGCCACTACCATGACTAAATGCCGTGGTCAATTCAATTCTCCCTGCTTCTATTACTTTGGCCTATTGCTCGGCCATAATTCATGCTAGGTATCTGAAGTGTACAGTCATATAGCGTCGTCATGCTCGTCCACCTGCATTCGCTTCCTTATGCGCCAACCTGGATCGCAATGACAGTGTTGGGGCTCCCCTCGCTCGACTCGCCACCTCCATTACTGCTTCCAGTCTGCGGTCTCACTGGCAACACCTCCTCCCCTGGTGTGACGGGCCGCGTCGCTCTCTCATGCGGGCTCCCGGTCTCTTGCGGCTCCTCTTCCTCGTCGCGCTCATCTGGCTTTGGGAATGCCACATAGCTCTCGCTTCGGGCTCCTGCCGCCTCATCCCCCGCCGCCTGGATCGTCGTTCCCGAAATCTCAGCCGGTGCACTGTGCCCGCCCTCGACAACCACCTGCTCAAGAAGCACCGCGCCGGGCTCCTGCGCCGGCTTTAACTTGGGTTCCAGGGGCAGGATTGCTTTGGCAAGCGCCCTTGCACCAGAGGCAATCACATGTGGTCTCTCCCATACGAGTAGGCCAGGATTCCCGGAAGTGCGGTTCGTCGCCACGACGTTGTAAGTTTGATTCGCCCACGCTGGGCAGGCATATCGACGCGCGGCTCGCCGGGGCAAGCCGACTGTCGTTTCGCTCGCGTCCTTCTTCGAATCCTCCGTGTCCCCTAGGAAGACTGTTAGGCCGACTCTGGCTCTTCGAGTCGCCTCTCTGCTGCCTCCATCCCGGGAGGACGCGCATTGCGCCCAGAGCCTCATCATCCCCTCCGGCCCTGGCAACCAAGTCAACTCTGTGAGTTTGATGAGGTCCTCTGGCGATAAGTCCTTCTCGGGACCGACTATGCGCATTATCATGAGGAAAAACAGGATGAGGCCCAGGGGCGAGTCGCACAGGGCGTACGCAAGCGTGTTCGGTTCGTATACGCCGCCGCTGCCGAACCCCAACAATGCTGGTGCTGGATCACGGTTGGCTGCCCCCTTCTGTTGTGCCCGATTTCTCTTCATTGCTTCGATGTCCTGGCTGGAGTAGCCTAGCATCGGCGTCTGGAACATGCTCACCGCAGTCCACTTGGCCCATTCCACCCAGGAGTCTCGAGACGTCGGTGCGTGCAGTGGTGGCGAGACAAAGTGCGCCCCGAGGCACGAGTCTGTGTAGTGCGTTGCGAGGCGGCTTGCGATCCTCCAGTCTACCGGCGGCAGCGCATCCACGGCCGGACCCGAGTTTGACACCAGGTAGTGTCCATAGTCCAGCCTCTTCATTAGCACGTCGAGCATATCCGCCACTGTCGGAACCACATGTGCTCGATTGCTCAGGCCGTCGCTGAATCCCATACCCGGCAGGGACGGGATGACGAGGTGAAAGGGCTGCTCCGCGGCGGCATTGTTCGGCTCGGTGAACAAAGGAATGAGATGCACGAGCGACAGGTTCGTAAACGGAAACGGGGGTATCAGGAGTAGAGGAATCGCGTTGGCGTGCGGCGAGCGAGCGTGGATAAAGTGTACGCGGCACGGGATGTCGGAGGCGGTCGTGTTGATGGCGGTGCGAAACTGCGGCACCTTGGCGTTGAGGTGCTCTTCTTGGTCGCGCCAGGAGAAGTGCTCCAACCTACGTGCGTCTCTGTCAGCTACGCGACCTGAGGCTCGCTTTCACCCGATGCGCTCGACACTTACCAAAAGTCGACGAGAGGCTCGACGACGGGCTTTGGGTCCCACCAGTTGCTGGACCGCGGGCGCGGGATATCGTGCGGTAGCCGTGTAAGTTCGAGCTTCTGCCTCGTCAAGTCCAGGTACTTGGTCGACACCTTGAGCGTTCTATCAGCATGCGTTCCCACCGGTCTGTCCGGTTCTCGCGTCGACCGCTAGGGACTCACGTGGATCTTGTATGGCTTCACATCCTCGCCAAAGGCCGCGCTCGCCTCGCCCTCTGCGGGAGCCATCGTCGCCAGGACTGCCGTCAGTCCGTCTTCAGCCACAGCCGTAACAGGGTCTGCCTGGCTATTCTAGCGGGCAGGAAGTCGTGGATGCCCGAAACCACCCAAGACAACAAGAAAAAAACCAGGCACACGAGGCTTGGATGGTATTTATTTGGCCCGGTCTCGAAAGGCAAACATCGCGCTACTCGTACACACCCCCATCCCACGGCGCCCCCGTCATGCTGTCCCCGCGGCGCCGCAACCGTCCTTCTTCCTGCTGGTGTTAATTAACGAGGCGAGGGTCCTTTGGCCCAGTCCAAGTCAGAGCCGCGAGCGCGCGCTGCACCACCACACCCACCAGCCGCGATGGGCTCCCCACCTCAAACATCCAGGGCAGAATCCCTGTCATGCTTGCTTGGCCGGCCCGTCCTGGCAGTGGCGCCACGCGCGTGGCTGAAGGAGGGGGGTGGGTATTACAGCACCCACCACGAGACCTGTCCTCGTCGATGGCCACGAGGAAAACCGCTAGCCTTATTAGCGGGGTGGACAGGAAGGGTCGCAGTCGACTTTCCCGACGTAGTCGAGCTTGAGGACGCCTTTGTCCTGGTCGTCGTCGGCGTTGACGCGGATCCAGGCGCACTTGCTGCAGCTCTCCTGCTCGAGGACGTTGAGCAGGCTGTGTATATGCGCCATGGTTCTGTTGCCGTTCTTGACGCCCTCGAAGAAGAGGCAGAACCCGGCCGGACCCAGCGAGTACTTGACGCACGAGATGTGCTTCCCGTTGCTGTAGACGCCCCTCCCGTCGTGCTTCCTGATGTTTTCGCGGATCATCTCGAATACGGACCAGCGGCCCTTGTCGATGTCGTGTGCGGTGACGGACATGTCGCACATGGCGCTGGCGCCCGAGCATGCCCACGAGCCTCTGGGGCGAGCTCCGGCGACGGCGGAGGTTCCTCCGAAGCCTGTGAGAGTGACGGATAATGATGTTGCAGCGTGAGGCATTAGTAATGCCGCGAGGCAATACAGGAAGTGCATCTGTTCGGCCAAGGGTTAGAATGAGGTCAGGTAGTCTCAGCCGGAGTTGCCTAGATTAAGAGCTGCAAACCTTTAATCACGAATATTGCAGCTTTCCGCGACAAGCTGGGTTGTAACGCACTGCACGGTAACGGTATTGTATACCGTGGCCCTGACTCCGTCTTGAGAGGACCCGACACAGATAAGTATCGTCCTAGGTGTTCAAGGCAACGGCGTTACCTGTTCATGGCGATGCACGGAGCATTCGCCTCTGCGCGAACGCCGCATGCCTCTTTCGATTGTTCTCTGCTCGGATAACACTGCATATTGCCCCATCCTCGAGATTCTGTTCCTTGAAACCACAGACCCCAACACAGGACAGACATCGCGCAACCGCCGAGATCCCAAACGACACGAGACAAGCGCAGACAATGCACAACCCAGACCGCGTCCAATGCAGCAACGCCAACGACAACAGGAAACAGCTCACTGCCTGGTACCTGTGGCCCCCTCTCCCATCACCAGACGCTGGTCACGCAACACCCTTCCCAGCAAGAGACACCCTGTGGCTCAACCGCGCCAAAATACTCGCAAGAATAAAAGAAGAAGAAAAAAGTCCGCGCCCAGTGAGCCGCTAAACTGACATGGACGTTGGAAGTTGGAACGGGACATGCCTCTGAAACAGTGGCGGTGCTGGCGAGGGGGCCCTGGGCCTGGAGGACGCTCGGAAATGATCGCCCTGGCAGCGCCGTGGGGCCGCGACGTCGTGCACCAAGCCGTTCGTGGCGGTGGCCTCTGTTGAAAGCAAGGCAGCTCACGCATTAGCTTCTCCCCCGTGGCGACTCTGCCTGGTCCAAGGAACGCTCCCGCAACAGGGTCAGTAACTTTCATTTGTACGGGGTCGTTTGTCGCCCATGGACGTTCCAGAGACAGGCTGACATTTTGTCTGTCATTATGGTCATGCGCCACACATCTCCTGGGCTGTTTTACATGTTTCCTTTGCGTGGCGTCACGAGCACCGAACCATCTCATGAAACGGCTTCACGGAACAAGCAAATCATTGCTCGTTGCCTTGCTGTTTACTGCTCTTGACTTGTTGACCACCTGACAAACGCCGCGCTCTCAAACATACACGTCAGCCCGTCGCCACATCTGCCATGCCAATCCCATCTCGTAGCCGCATCCTTGCTTGGCTTCAACACGCAAGGCACCACGCGCGGCCCTCCTTCGATGCAGTACATGTTGTGTGCCAGATGATCAAGTACTTGCGTCAAACACCCCCCCGAGTCGGTCAGGCCAAACCAGCCTCCGGTGCAAATCGTCCGGGCCTCTTCTCGCCTTGCAGGTTAGCTCGGAATTCGTGTTGGCTGTTGGCGTCCCGGATTCCGATAAGCCACACCTGCCTGCCGATCATATCTACTCCGGGGAAGCCCCCTCCGGGCTGCGTGGCTCTGCGCGTCTCCTGACAACCATCGCGACATGCGGCCGCTCAGCTGCTGCTCCTCGCCGGGGCACCGGTGCCAGCGTTTGCCGATCCACCGCGAATGTTGATCTGTCCGATACGGGACACTATATTGCTTCCCACCGCATCCACCGCGCCTCGAGGAGATGTCAGAGTCGGCCCTTCGGGTGCTGTTTCCTGGACCCGGAAGAGCTTGATGGACGTGCCGTTCCAGATGCCCATGGTACCTTTGGCGATCTGCATCTCGCTCGTAAACACGACGCCCCAGAGGAGCGATTCGTACCAAGCCAGCGCCAGCTGCGACCACTCAAAGGAATGAATCCGCGGTGGCGACGGTTCGACACCGACAAACTCCGTCTCCTTAATGCGAGCCATTAAGTCGGTCCCTCCAACGTCTTTGCCGCCGTCTTGTCGGGGCAAGAGGCTCGACACTTGCTGAATAACGGTGAGCAGAGTGTGTAGGGGAAGCTCGGGTAGCCAGCCGTCAATCCACTGAGTTGTTGGCTCGAACGAGGTTCCTTGCGTCGGCGCCGAGGTGGACTGGGTCGCGATGCTTGTGGTGCTGTTCTGGCGAGAGAACGAGCGCGCTCCCGCCGGCATCTTGCCACGCGCCTTCTCGGACATGCCCCGTAGCTGGACTGGAAGTGCGTCGTCGACATTCACCGTCGACGAATTTCGTGACTGGTTTTCGCTGACGGTTGATGGTGCTGGAGTTGGCTGCGGGTCCTCGTCGCTGTCGTCCTCGTCGTCGCCGATTGCAAAAGTGCCATCTTCGGGCACCTCCTCGAGCGTCTGCGAACGGGCCGGAGCATTCGGCGGACTCCTTGCGCTTTCGACAGAGCTGCGCACTGATGATGGGTCCAAGGAATCGCCATCGTCCTTCTTTCGCCTATTTCGCCGCTCCAGTTCCTCCTGTCCACTCTCCAGCGTAAATGTGCGCAGCGCCTCGATGCGCTTCTTGTTCTTGACAATGGCTAGCACCAGCTCCGGGTTCTTGCGATAGTTGTGCTCGACGATGCAGCTTATTGACTCCAGCAGGGAGTGGAGAAGTGTGTGGTTGGTCTCGTTGGCCAGCAAAAACGAGGGCGAAGACATGGACGAGAACAAGTGCATGAGCTGCGAGCTGCCAGAAGCACTAAGCTTCTCGACATGCGGTGCAATGTTGTTGATGACGGCCAGGAGCGCCGGATATACGGCCGCGAAGCTACCCTGGCTGGTAGTAATGAGGGTATAAATGGAGTGGATGAGGAAATCGGTGTAAGTGCCCCTGAAGCCATTGATCCGAATGCAGGCCGGCAGGCTCTCCTGGCCCTCAAAGCGCTTGTTCAGGCTCTTGCCGAAACTGGGCTCGACGCTCAACGTCTGCAGCATGAAGGCGCACATGCGAACGATTCCTTGCTTGGCAGAGTCGTTCTTGTACTCGAGCGCGTAGAACAGTGTGAGGATGACAAAGTCGTGCGCTCGATCCGTGTCGATAATAAAGGACCGGAACCTCTTGTTGCACTGTGTCATCTCCCAGAAGAACATGAGAATCTCGGGCGCAAAGTTGGCTGTTCCTTGCGCCCCTGGCAGGTACGACGTCTTCTCCTGAAGCGGCTGGCTGAGGATCCGGTTCATTCCGTCGACGATGAACTGAAAGTCCTGAGGTCGATGGAGTCGTCCGAGAAAGTGTCGATAGAAGTTCTTTTGGACTGGTGCATCTTCCGGAATAGGATACACAAGCAGGGCTAGCAGAAACTGCAGCGAATCCGTTACTAGTATCTGCTTGGTGTCCTTGAACACTAGTGTGTTGTACGGTACACGCCAGCTTGCCGGGTTGTATTTGAGTGACTGCGATCGGGAGTTAGCAATATTGAAACTTCATCGGGAGTGGCAGGACGTACGGTATTAAGCAGGGAGCACAGGACGGACAAGACAATTTGCTTGTCCTGGCAGGTGCATAGATATGTCAAGCTCCTGACCCCTCGTTGCGGCAGCACCGAAGGGGTCATGTACATGCTCTGTCCAGCAAGAGCAAGAAGAAGTCGCAGTATCTCGCACCTGTTGCTCTCGTATTCTTTGGTCGTCGCCACTGCGTTGTGACATCCGACACCGCTTTGCCATATCGCGTACGTCACCTTGGGGTGTCCGTGCGGCTGGCGAGAGATTGTCAAGTCCGAATAGAAGAGCAGGTCGACCAGTGTATCAATCAACTCTTCCGCTAGGGGCTTCGCATCCTCAAACTCTTCTGCCTCCGGCTTGGTTTCTTGCTTGTCAGCCTGTGCCTCATCGAAGAGGATCTCGTTCGCGATGGCGGCTTTCCGTGTCTTCTTCCTGCGCGCGGCCCAGAAAAAGCGCTCTTCCCAGGCGGCGAGGCTATCCTTCTCGTAGAGGTATGGCAGCAGACGTGTCAAGATTCGGATGCAGTTCAGGGCGTCGCGCTCGGGAGCGAGCTCGGGGTCCGGGAACGATGGATGGTGCCGTAGGATAAACAAGCGTGACGTCAACGCGAGTATCAGTGTCTCGATATTCTCCAAAGCTCGGTCGCGGGTCCGGCGAATATCGGCCGGGGAAAAGAGGCTGAATACATCCTCTGAGGATTCGGGAAGCTCCCAAAACTAAGAATACATCAGCGATATGTCGGGGCGGCCTTGCCAGATCGTACAAACCGAGGTCCAGTAAGTGTCGTCGGCGGGGATGTGCCGTTCTTCCGACAGCCGGAAGATGCCTTGCTTGAAGACAATCTTGGAGTCGCTTGCACCCATGGCTAAGGAAGCGCAAGGACTCCACCCTGCAGGGAAGCGTGGTGTATGGTGACGATGGCGGACGAGGTGGTGGAAGACGAAGGCTGGCAGTGGCCAGGTGGGCGGTTCGCGGGAGTCGTTGCCCAAGCTCGAGGTGGTGCCGGCAGTACGTTAGAGTACGGTAAGCCACTGGAGGGTAGGTCACTGACTGGCGCAAAGAGCCAATCACGTGGGGTCAATGCGCCATCACCACCGAAGAACTCCCGCGGCAACTTATCGATAGCGGCGGACCTTTTGTCGCGGCGCAACGGCAGCGCCCGGCAGTTTGCTCATTGCTTCTCCAGCCGTCAACGCTCTGGTCATGCCCGCCCTTGGGACCGTCGAGCCTCTCGACGTCCGACATGCTTCGCTCCACATGCCGCCCTGGTCGATTGGCCGGTAGCGCAGCCCACGTTGCGACCAGCCGACCTGTTGTTCCTCTCCCAAGGAGCTTCTCGGCATCGAGCCTGTCGCGATCGGCAGAACAAGCTCCAACAACCTCAGCAGAGGACGAATCGGACAAGTCTGGAGTTCGACGCAAGCCGCGCAAGCGACGAGATGGCGAAACCGGGAGACGACATGCGGAAGTGACCGGGAAGAAGGCGCAAGGCGCGCAAGCAGATTCTGACGCCAGGTTAAACGAATACCTCCGAAACTTTCAGCAGGATGCCGCCGACGAAAAGGTTGCACAAGAGGAGGCGCCCAGATCATGGAAGAGCATTCTGTCCGAGCGCATCCAGGAGCTGAGAGGAAAGCCGTCATCGAGTACACAGGCAAAAGCCCCAGCATCCCAGCAAAAAGGGCGCGGGCAGGAAGGGCCGATCGAAGGCGCAGCGTCGCCGCCTGCGCAGCAGCAAACAGGCATTTGGACATCTCTGCGCTCTAGGCTTCAAACAAAGCCTGTGGAAGTGGCAGATGTCAAGGCGACCCGTCCAGACGAACCTGCGGCGGAGGGCAAAGAGGGTGCAGAGGAAGAAACCCGTCCGAGCCCGTCTGAGGAAGACGATGGCAGCCCCAAGAAAGCGGCCGGCGGCAGAGCAAAGAAAACCAAGGCAAAAGCTGCCTTGGACGTCAAGATTATTCGACCACAGCGACTACGGCTCCGCCCCGTAGAGGAGGGGCCCTCGGACGTTCCGCAGCTGGCGCATAATCTCGACCGCGTGCTGTTCAATCCCGGCGTCTACCACGTACAAGACCACCGCTCCCGGGTGTTCAACTTTGATCCCTACTTGGCTACGATAATGCCGGTGGCAGAGTTCGACTTTGGTGCTCTCTCAGAGTACATCACCTCGTCCAAGGACGTCAAGCTGCGACAGCTCGCCGCAAAGCACGACATGAAGTACTGCGGCTCCACGTCAAGCATGACGTCCATACTCTCACACTTCCACTTCCTCCTCTCTGCGTGGCGCAAGCCAACGTTTGACAACCTGTCGCGGTCATTGGAACCAGAGTCAACTAATTTCACCGCCCTTACTCGAGGGCCTGCCGCGGCCTTTGCCCGCTTTCAAGATGGCGTGTACGCCATTGATTCGGACAAGGAGTATGATACCGAGAATATCCTGAGTATGCTTGGCAAGTCGATGGAAAAGCTCTTCACGCTACCAAAGGAGGAGTTTGAACGGTATCGCCGGTCCAAGTCGCACCAAATTTCCGAGGAGGAGCGTAATGCCGAGGAATCATACCACTATACGACATTGGGCGACTTCATGATGCGCTCGCAGCTCGACGCTTATGACCCCCGACTTCCAGGGTCCGGTATGTTTGACCTGAAGACGAGAGCAGTCGTGTCTATCCGCATGGACGTGAGAGGCTACGAAAAGGGCGTTGGCTACGAGATCCGGAAGCGCTTCGGCCAGTGGGAATCGTTTGAGCGTGAGTACTACGACATGATTCGGGCGGCCTTCCTCAAATATTCATTGCAAGTGCGGATGGGGCGGATGGATGGCATCTTTGTGGCGTTCCACAACACGCAACGCATCTTTGGGTTCCAGTACATCAGCTTGTCGGAGATGGACCATGCCATCCACGGCACGCCAGACAGACGATTGGGGGACCAGGAGTTCAAGTGCAGCATTGCCTTGCTCAACGATCTCATGGACCGAGCCACCAAGAAGTTCCCCGGCAGGACGTTGCGATTGCACGTGGAGACGCGCCCGACCAAGGTGCCTCTGACATACTTCTTCGTCGAGCCCGTCACCGACGAGGAGATGAGGCGAACGCAAGAGGCAGGCAAACCATCCGTGGAGCAGCTTGAGCGAGAGATTCTCGGCCTCAGCCGGGAGGAGAGCGAAGCAGAATCAGCGCAGGAGGAGGCAAATGCCCAGGCCGAGCAGCAGCAGCAGCAATCAGACGAGACAGACAAGGCTGCAGACGAGGCGGCACCAAGCGACCCGCAGAGCGATGCAGCGTGGAAAGAGATGATGGCCAAGGTAGAAGACTCGGTCGAGAACGAGAGCCTGGGCATCTCGTCGGTCAAGGAGGCGGTGCAAGACGCTTTGGAGCAGAGCGGACTGCTCAGCGACAAGACGGAAGTGGAAAGCGAAAAGTATGTCGATGATCTGGTTGCGGCCCTGACGGCACACTCATCGGTGAGCAAAGAGGCTCGCGAGGCGGCCGAGGCAAGGGAGGCGTCGGAGGAAGGCAGACAAGCTTCAGAGTCATCAGGCCAGGAGACGAAGGCGGAGACTGCGTCGCTGACTGATCTCATTCTGCGGGTCACGGAGGGTATCGATGACAAGTCGAGCAACCTCAAGACGTTTGAGCGCAAGTTTGCCGACTTGGCAACGCAGTCCAAGAAGTCTGAGGCGGCCGGCGGCGAGCAGCCAGTCAAGGAGAAGGAGGAGTCCGCCGAAGAATCGACGGAGCTTGACTCCGCCGCCGAAGAGGCCGACAAGGATACCGAGGGGCAAGAGGAGAAGGATCGTGAGATCCTCGGCATGTACGTGACGATTCGCAACCGAGTCAACGGCAGCTTCGTGGAACGGCCATCAAGCCCGGAAAAGGACTTTGACTGGGCCGTGCAGTACGCCATCACGGAGCTGCCGGATAAGAGAGCTCAGCGGATCTACAGCAAGATCAAGAAGCGGCGGAAGACGGTCCTGACGCAAGACCCGACGGCGCGAGCGGCCGACTGGTACCGCATGTTCAAGGGCACGCTGCCCATCATGGCGAAGAAGGGCGAGAAGTACAGGGCGATGAGGACGCAGCAAGAGGCGGGAAACCCTGTGTACGTTGCATGGGACAAGAAGCCCCTGTCTCCCGAGGTTCCGCGAGCGGGGACCGACGGCAAGTCAGAAGTTTAAAATGTTGCATCCAATCTAATGGCGTCGGGTCGGAACTGCACATCATAGCGACGATGGTTCTTGGGCTGGCTACAGGGTCTAGATTTGTATAGTAGTGTACAATACGCCGCGACATGCCGGCATGAAACGAGCTCTCGCAATGAATTCAGCTCAGCCTATGTCAAGAGCTGGAGTTATCATGACCGAATACTACCCCTTGGCGGTGGCAATGTGGCCTTGTTACTTTTCCTCAGACGGGCCTCTCTGCTGCCGGCCATTGCGATGGCACCACATGTGTTCGCGTTGCTGCATGGGGCAACGATGCAACTTCATGATAGACCAGCTTTTATACGAGAAGGACTGCGTGCGGAGCAAATGCTCGAATCGAGCGAAGCGGCCGGTGGCCAAAGTACGGGATCGCCGGGGGCCAAGGGTCCACATGCAGTTCGTGAAGCAGGAGATGCGGATTGGGACAAGCAAGTCACTGGCGTGCTGGACGTGTTTTGACGTACGTCAGAGTTGCGAAACGTCGGTATGGGTCATGGCAACGGTGGGAGTTTACCTGTCGTTGGCTTTCATGGAAAGAGAATAGGGCCTGCGACAAGTCTTGGCTCAGTTCAGTCTCAGGGACTGACTGCCAGAGGAGTGTACATGTATGTCCGTTCACGCACAGAAATGTACATTCTTCCTCGGAAGATACATGTAGTACTATGCGACATAACATGCAGTGGGTTTCGACTGGCAAACCCTGTCTACTCGTGGATACCTACTATCGCATCTCGCTGCATTGAACATACGAGCGCTCGACGCAAGTCCGTTCAATATTGCACATACAAGTAGTAAAGAAAGGCATCGGGCCAGAGGACATGGCCTGTTGTCCAGTGCAATTTGCTGGTCTTGAGTGCCATGATGCAAGTGATAAGGTAGCATGCAGACGCAAGGGATAGATCGTGGAGATCAATCCCGGAGCCGGTTCCGGCTCTGGACGGACTGGGGGAAAGGGTTTCCCTGAGATGGCCAGCGTTGAAGTCGATACATTTACGTACGGTACGCATGGTCGTATACTGACACTCTCTACTATGGATCTACTGTGTACAAATTACATGAAGCCGGCTTAGGGACACCAATGATACCATGATGACTGTATCACCGTTGCCAACGCTGTCCTCTACGTCGACCTGGGTTTGTCTGAGACTCTAAGCCGGGGGTGCATGCATCCCCAAACTCAGTCATCTCGGAACACCATGTCGAGCTCTACTCCGTGTCTCGAGCTCCTCTCAATGTTCCCTACCTCTGACCCATCTAGATGCTACGGAACCCACACGCTAAGCCTCACATGTTCTCGTTTCCCATATCGGATGATGATACACGATCTACTATCGTCGTCGTCCTTCCCAGACAACATGGCGCCGAGTCTGCTCCTCCTCTGTGCATGAACCACGCAACGCCATGACAGCATAGCCTTTGGCTCGTATCGCAGTTTCCCTTGCACTCATGCAGTGGACATGCCTCTGCCGTGTCGTTCGACTTGACGGTCGTACGTTCACACCTGCAACGGTCGCCCGGCGCCAAGTCTTTCGCCTTCCGTCATAGCTGGATGCGGCCTCATGTAGTATTGTCATTCTCCGTAATCGCTTTCCACCCTCGCAGTCCCTGTGAGTAGTCTCGGTCCGTCGGCGATACCCTGTCTCTTTTGTTCGTCATATTTATGGAAGATGACGAGTATAAAGTCGACAGACGGCGCGCCTCCGTTCGACTTTCCTCCAACCACGAAAGTCAGCAAATCAACGTCGCTTTAGGATCAAGAGACAATACGCTCAAACATTGTGAACTCTCATCTTCTATAGCTCTGACGATGCGCGCTCACTCGTTTCTGCCACTTCTGGCGCTCGGGCGGGCAGTCCAAGGCGCGGCCCTCGACGGTATCAGGGGCGTGTCGCCTCGAGATGTCTTGACCTCGAACGCCTTGCAAGCTTCGGGACATATTGATGACCTCCGTGGGAAGGTCGAGTCTCGAGACTTGTGCTTGCCCTGCGCGGTAACTGATCCACGCCCAGCGCCTGTCTCTCTTGGACCACGTTGACTTAGACATCAAAGACCTACATGCGAGGGCTTCAGGCGGCCCTCTTAGCTGGCGACACCGCTTTCATCTGGTCTCTCAAAAAGCTCTGCGAGGTGCTCACGGTATGGCTCGCAACTCTTGCCTTGAAGCAGCAGTTCCGTCGCAGCTAACACGCGGGGTAGCACTTTGACGACGACGTCTGCGATGGCTGGGTTGGCCTCGAGGCACCCAGTGTCGCCGCCGCCGCCAGGGCGATGGGCGACTTTTCGCGCGGTGCCCAGACGTTCTGTTCTAACTTTTGGAGCACCTGTGGCTACCCAGCCGTCGAGCCATGGAACATAACATTTCCATCGCCCAAGCCGGCCGGTGGTCGCCCTGAGCCAAGCCGCAAGATGCCGCCACTCAAGGTCGTCCATTACTCGGATATTCATGTCGACCCGCTTTATACGCCGGGTGCTAAAACGAACTGCACCAAGCCGACATGCTGCAGGTACGAACGCGGTCTCTCTCTTTTCCCGCAGTCGTGAGGTTGTTGCGGAGCGGCGCGGAGGCTGACTCTGAGTGTTGCTACAGGCCGTATACGAACGACGACGCACCCGGCAGCAACACATCTCCCGCCGGCCCCAACGGCGAGCATACGTGCGACACGCCCCTGAGTCTCGAGGCCAGCATGTATGAGGCCATCAATGCCGTGGCCTCCGATGCCGCTTTTGCTCTCTTCACGGGTGACATAGTCGATGACACGACTTGGGAAACCACGCAAGCCTACAACACGGCCTCGAGTCAGTCTGGCCCTCTCCCACTTGGACGTTGACACCGGGTTCATAGCCCCGGCTCGACGGTATGATGCTGACTCTGCTCCAGTCAAACACGCGTACGGCGTCATGAAGCAGAAGCTCAAGAGAGTCTACGCCACCGCCGGCACCCACGAGGCCCATCCCGTCAACCTCTTCCAGCCCAGTGACATTGGCAATGACACGCAATGGCTGTATGGCCTGCTTGCCCAGGAATGGTCCCCGTGGCTGGACCCGGCTGCCGAGGCACAGGTCAACAACTTTGGTGCCTACTCGACGAAGTATCCATTCGGAAACCTGCGCGTCATCTCCATCAACACCAACTTTTACTACCGGCTAAACTTCTGGAGGTATAAGGACTTTGACAATAAGGATGTTGAGAACCAGCTTGAGTGGCTCATCAAGGAGCTCGATGGGGCGGAGAGGGCCGGCGAGAATGTGTACATCATCGGACACTCGCCCAATGGCGAACCGGACACGTTCTGGGATCCGTCCCATTACCTCGATCAGATCTTCAATCGCTACTCGGCGACCATCGCGGCCATGTTCTTCGGACACACCCAGCTCGATCAGTTTGAGATTTCGTACCTCGACTACGCGGCGCGCAACGCGTCCAACGCGTTCCTGACGTCGTACATCGCGCCCTCGCTGGCACCCACTACGGGCATGCCCTCGTTCCGTGTCTACTCGGTCGATCCGGAGACGTTTGGCGTGCTCGACGTGACAACATACGTCGCCGACATGACCAACCCGGCGTACCAGCAGACGGGACCGGTGTGGGAAAAGTACTACTCGGCCAAGGAGGCCTACGGCCCGGCCGTGGACCCGCCGCTCACGGACCCCTTGGCAGAGCTGACGCCGGCCTTCTGGCACAACCTGACCGAGGCCTTCGACCAGGACCAGAAGCTGTTTGACGAGTACGTTGCGCGCAAGAGCCGCGGGTGGAACGTGACCTCGTGCGACGGCGACTGCAAGAAGGCGGAGCTGTGCCAGCTCCGCGCAGGCCGCTCGGAGGACAATTGCTACGACCCCCTGACCGACAAGACACCCTACAAGCACGTGGACCAGTACGACGTCTCCTTCTCGGTGACGGCGCACACGCTGCGCGCGTTGGCGAACAGCGAGGGCGGGCTGGACAAGCTGAAGGAGGTGGTTGAGGAGGCGAAGAAGAATGTCACGGCTGCGGCAAAGTGAGAAGGGCATCCACGATAGGTCGGGGGTCTTCAAAGGGTCTTGCTTGGTGTGAAGAGGTGATAGTGGTTGACCTGGGGGTGGGGAGACAAGCCCGCCGGCTTCCAAAAGGTGAGATGACTGATCAAAGTAGCGTCTCCATTCAACCTGCACTGGAGAAGAATAGAGCTGATGGCCATTTCATATCATGTCTTAATCTCCGTGTCCGCGTAGCATCTTGAGTCGCTTTCGCAGCAGCCGCGACGACATCGAGCCATGTAGTTGTAAACTTGTACGGTCGGCCGGACTACATCCTCATGCCTAGGGTAGCCAGCTTGAGCTGTGGGTCCTGGGCTACTGATGGCCGGGGAATTTTGCCGAACTACCCCCGACAGCCCCCAAACAGCTGCATGTCCTTGGAAGTCAGGCAGACACCTGTCTGCTATCCAATGGGAGCGTGCCGCTGCGTCGCCAGGGGAGGGTCTGTTGTTGCTCCGGCGGCGGTGACCGCTGACAGCTTGGGGAGCTGCGCTGCCCTGCACTGGGCAGCACGCCACTCTGGGCAACCTTGGAAGCTGCCCGCCCGGAGCTGGTGCTGCCGCCCAGGGCGCGTCACAGGCCAAGGCGCCCAGCCGCAGTGCTAAGCAGGGAGGGCCGGAGGAGCTCCAGTTCCCGATGGTAGCACCACTGAGACACTGTTGACTTCGCGCACGCGTGGCCTCACCAATTCAACCCAAGACATCCCATCTTCAAGCGCACCTTTGCAAAAAGAAGAGATTCCAGCAGGCCTTTGCCGGCCCTCCTTGCATGCAGCCCGGACTCCGGCCCCGTCTCCAGACACGCCCTTCCTTGCTGGACCTCATCCGCCACAGGAGGAGCGACTCGGTGTCGTCGACCGTCTCCGCGCCCGTGCTCTCCCGCTCCCACTCGCTCGCCGGCGCTGCCTCCGCCGCCGCCACCACCCCTACAGGCTCGGTGCCTCCCCCTCCCCGCCCGCGCCTGGGCTCCCACAGCGTCTCGCTGGGTGCGCTTCCCAGCGCTACATCATCGCCTCCACACTCGCCGCCAGCTGCCCCTGCTGACCCCAACCCGTGGAACCCACCGTCGCTGCTGCTGCTTCCACCACCACCGCCTCCCGTCGCAGCTATCGAGCTGCCTCTGCCAATCTCTCCACTCTCAACTTCGTCTCCCTCAAATCCTCCGCTGTCGCCCCAGCAGCCTCCGTCGCCGAGCCTGCCCTCCTCCTCACCCTCCTCCTCCGCCGCCGCCGCCGACAGCTCTTCGTCGTCCTGTGCCGACACAGCGCCCGACCCTGCGCCGCCTTCCAAGATGCCGCCTGTACGTTCTGTGCCCCGACCTCAATGCCGGCCGCCCACCCTTCCCCGCGCCGTCGATGCGCCGGCTGGCTGCGGCCAACGGCCACGCCGTGCCCCGCAGCATCGTGGACTGACGTGCATCCGGTGCAGAAAGCGAACAAGGCCGATGGCGAGGCCCTCCATGGCGGTAAGTGGCCCTGACCGAATTGAATGCCCCCTCCGGGCGACGAGGCTGACGCATGTGCAGGCAAAATCTACTCGATTTCCGGGTTAGTCGACGATTCCTCAGTTTCCAACGAGTCGAACCGAGCTCGACATTTGACGCATGCGATGCTAACCCATCACCAGCCCCGTCGTCATCGCCGAGGAGATGATCGGTGTTGCCATGTACGAGCTGGTATGTGTCCTTTGGAGCGCGAATAGGGCGTCGCATCGAGGCTAAGCTGTGTGACGCAATTCAGGTCAAAGTAGGACATGACAACCTCGTCGGCGAAGTCATTCGAATCAACGGCGACCAGGCCTCCATCCAGGTCTATGAGGAAACAGGTACTGAACCCAGGCTCGGCCCTTGTTGGGGCCAAGGCAGCTGACCAAAGCTTCAACAGCCGGCCTCATGGTCGGTGACCCCGTCACCCGCACCGGCAAGCCCCTCTCCGTCGAACTTGGCCCCGGCCTCCTCAACGGCATCTTGGACGGAATCCAGCGGCCGCTCGCCGACATTGCCAACGTCGCCAAGTCCATCTACATCCCCCGTGGCATCTCCGTCCCCGCCCTCGACCGCAACAAGAAGTGGGAGTTCACGCCTACCATGAAGGTCGGCGACCACATCAGCGGCGGCGACGTCTGGGGCACCGTCTTCGAGAACTCGTTCATCTCAACGCACAGAATCCTGTTCCCGCCCCGCGCCCGAGGTACCATCACCAAGATTGCCTCAAAGGGCGAGTACACTGTCGCCGAAAACATCCTCGAGGTCGAATTCGACGGCAAGAAGACCGAGTATCCCATGATGCAGTCATGGCCCGTCCGAGTCCCCCGACCCTCCACCGAGAAGCTTGCCGCCGAGGAGCCTTTCGTCGTCGGCCAGCGCGTCCTGGACGCCCTCTTCCCCGGTGTCCAGGGCGGTACCATTGCCATCCCCGGTGCTTTTGGCTGCGGCAAGACTGTCATCAGTCAGTCCGTCTCCAAGTTCTCCAACAGCGACGTCATCGTCTACGTGGGCTGCGGCGAGCGCGGCAACGAAATGGCCGAAGTGTTGAAGGACTTCCCTGAGCTGACCATTGACGTGGACGGCCGCAAGGAGCCCATCATGAAGCGCACGACCCTCATCGCCAACACGTCCAACATGCCCGTGGCCGCCCGAGAAGCGTCCATCTACACTGGTATCACGGTCGCCGAGTATTTCCGTGACCAGGGCCTTGACGTGGCCATGATGGCTGACTCGACGTCGCGATGGGCCGAGGCGCTTCGAGAACTGTCGGGTCGTTTGGGAGAAATGCCTGCTGACCAGGGTTTCCCTGCTTACCTGAGTGCCAAGCTTGCCTCCTTCTACGAGCGTGCCGGCCGTGTGCAGACGCTGGGCTCTCCCGAGCGCAAGGGTAGTGTCAGTATCGTCGGTGCCGTCAGCCCCCCTGGTGGTGACTTTTCGGATCCCGTCACATCCTCTACCCTCAGTATCGTGCAGGTTTTCTGGGGTCTTGACAAGAAGCTGGCTCAGCGCAAGCACTTCCCCTCCATCAATACGAGCGTGTCCTACTCCAAGTATACGAGCGTGCTCGACAAGTACTACGAGAAGGAATTCCCCGAGTTCCCGAGGCTGCGTGACCGAATCAAGCAGCTGCTGTCTGACTCGGAGGAGCTGGACCAAGTCGTGCAGCTGGTCGGCAAGAGCGCACTGTCCGACCCGGACAAGATCACGCTCGACCTGGCGGTCCTGCTCAAGGAGGACTTCCTGCAGCAGAATGGTTACTCGGACTACGACCAGTTCTGCCCCATGTGGAAGACGGAGTGGATGATGAAGCTCATGGTCGGGTACCACGACGAGGCACAAAAGGCCATTGCGCAGGGCCAGAGCTGGGCCAAGGTCCGCGAGGCCACGAGCGACCTCCAGGCGAAGCTGCGGCAGCTGAAGTTTGAGGTCCCTGGGGACGGCGAAGATGTCATCACTAAGAAGGTTGGTGGGCCCGTCAGTCACGTCAGATGCCCAGCCGCTAACACGGAGACAGTACGAGGCCATCCAGCAGGAGATGACGGACAAGTTTGCGTCGGTGATGGACGAGTAGAGGATGAGAGGTGTGCAGCCGTGCATTGTAAGCACATGTGGTCCTATAGAGAGAGGGGGGGTCCTTGTCAGTACGGAGGGGCGGATCAGAGTACAAAAGTACCGTCGCCGCCCCTTCGCCTTGTATCCATTCTATCCAGCCATTGTCAATATCGCGTAGCCTGCCGTCTGTGACGTTGTCGAGTCGAGGCTGAACTTGTCCATGATGGTCGCCGGGTCGCTGTGGGGCCACCAGCTTAGTGGGCGCAGCTCAGTTTAAACCTCACCACCTCTCCCATCATTCGTGTCCCACTTACAGGTCCAACTCACCACCAACCTCTGCAGCCATGTCCGAGGAGCTGCTCGATGAGGTCGAGGCCCTCAACTCCATCTACGGCGAGGGCACGCTGACCCGCGACGCCGACGCCCCAGCCCCCGCTGCCGCCGGCGACTCGGGTCGGGGCCCCGAGGGAGGCACGGACGAGGAGGAATCCGTGTACGTGCTGCGACTGCCCGGCGGGGCGTCGAGCCTGCGGCTGGGCTTCGCGCGTGCGTACCCGGCGACGGCGCCGCCCTCGGTGCTCGGCACGGAACACTCGTCGGGCGGGGTGCGGGGCGCGGGGGCGCGCGACCTGGCGCTGTTCCGGGACGTGCTGGGGCGGGTGTACGAGCCGGGCGTGGTGTGCCTCTTCGATGCGGTGGAGGAGTTTGCGCGGATGAGGGCGGAGGAGGATGAGCAGGGGAAGGGGATGGGGGGCGGCGATGCGGATGTTGCGCAGGATGATGCGGAGGAGGACGAAGAGGGCAACGGGCCCCGGAGGAAGCATCGTGATGATGACGATGATGATGATGATGATGAGGCAAGACTGCTCGCGGCCATGGAGCCCCCTCCGTGGGTGCGCTCCGAGCCCATCACGGAGAACAAGTCCACCTTCGTGGCGCACGTCGCGCGCGTCACGTCCCCCCGCCAGGCACGCCTCTACCTCTCGCACCTCCTCGCGTCCGACAAGCGCATCCGCAGCGCGACGCACAACATCAGCGCGTGGCGCATCCGAGGCGACAGCAACACCACCACGGCCACGACCACCTCCACCCCCACCTCCACCGCCAATGCGAGCAACACCAGCAGCAGCAAGGACAAAGGGGGGGCGGCAGTGGCGTACCAGGACTGCGACGACGACGGCGAGACGGCGGCGGGCTCGCGCCTGCTGCACCTGATGCAGGTGATGGAGCTGTGGGACGCCATGGTGGTGGTGACGCGGTGGTACGGCGGCGTGAAGCTGGGCCCGAGGCGGTTCGCCGTCATAAACGCCGCGGCGAGGGATGGGTTCGTGAGGGCGGGGATGGTGGCGGAGGGGGGGAAGGACAAGGACGGTAGGAAGAAGGGCAGGTGAGGCGAGGCCGAGGAGAAGAGTGTGAAGAGCCTGCGTGCCTATGTACGGCGGCATCGGACGCCGCCTGGGAGAATAAACCGCATGATGTTGGTGGACATGGGCGTTCAAGCGGAGCAGCAGCCAGATGGCGTTGGACAACGAGGCAAAAGACCAATTGCCTATGCAAGTTATTATATACAGAATCATATCCCGATAGAGCATCTCCTCCGGGTATCTCGTCCAACGACTACAGCCTGACAGGCTCCTGTTTTGCGCCTGATGCGACCGACACTCTGTCACACGATGCGGGTTGCCCAACAAACACAAACGCCGAAACATCACCAACTTTTGTCCCCCCCTCCTTCGGTCCCAGCATCCCGTCACTCGTCCTCCGTCCTCAGAAGCGGCCCCAATATTGCTAGCGCCCGTGTCGACTGCTCCTCGGTGAGAATTACCGCCCCCGCGCGCGCCGTGGACAGATACGACAGCTCAAACGTCTCGGTCAGGTGCATGTCCTCGACGAGCCGGCCCGCGACGCCGCACACTATACCAGTCACCTCTGATGGCAGGTTGACGAGGTCCAGGAAGATGGGCACAAAGTTGCTCTCCGTGTCGCCCACGATCGAGTCGCCGAAGATAGGCAGCAGCTTCCTGTCCAGCAGGAGCGAAGGGGGGTCGTCCTGAGCCAGCGTGAGGGACATGAACCGGGGCCGCGACACGAGCGCCGAGATGATGCAGGTGTATAGCTTGGTGTCCACGTTTTCGATCCAGCTGTTGCGCCGTCCGGGGGTGTGCGTCTGACGTCCTACGGACAGCCGGTGCCCGTAGACATCGGCGAGTTGTGAGATCTCGCGGCCCGAGCACTGGACCAACTGCAGACCGTCGTCCACGTATGGCGTGACGTTGCGCTTCTGCATCAGGTCAAACGTTCGTGTCTGCAGCTCCTTGCCGTCAGACGGCGGGGGCGTGCCGGGCGGGGAACCAGCTGAGCTTGCCGAGTTCTTGCGGCCGTATGCGTACGAGTTGACAAAGTTGGACTGGTTCTCGGAAAGCTCGAAGCCCCTCTCAGACAGCGCCTTGATGACGTTATGCCGCGCTTTTGAAGGAACAAGGATGAAATCGGAGTAGTAGGTTGTTATGAAGAAGATGGGGATACCGGCCAAGGCGAGCGGAGAGCTCAGCTCCATGACTCTGCCGGCGGCCTCGAGCCCGGCGCTGATGACTGAGAGGACCATGTACGTGTCCTTGAACACAGCGACCGTCTTGGCTTGCTCACTTGGCAGGGCGTCGATGACGGGTTGAAAGACCTTGTTGGCCCATGTTGAGTGGCAAACAATCGAGCACTCGATTGGAGTGACGCTGATGTTGAGGAATCCATGCTGGTTCTCGGTTGTAAGTCCCTCAAGGGCGCACTCGGGGGTTTCTCGGAGTGCGTCGAGGCTCTGAGTTTGTGGCAGAAGCACCCGAAGAATCGGCTGCAGGAGAGCCGAGTATAGGTCTAGAGGGACATGGATGAGGGTATATGTCCCATCCTGGTGTCGTCATCGATCACCGTCAGCATTTCACTGGTGCAAGAACGCTGTGGTGTTTCGCCGTGGCCAACGACAACGGTGGGGCCATCGGCCTGGCGTGGGGCATCAAGGAGCGCAGATACGACTCACCAGGAAGGATATCTGGGCATTCATGATGGCCCCAATTCCGGAATGTGCAGGATTTGCGCCATGCAGGCGCGTCCCTCACAGAAGCTCAACGGCTTGCGGACAACACTCTCAGGTTGAGGCTCGAGAAGGTTGAGTCAGATCTTCGTTTCCTATACCGTCGGTGGTAGGCGGGGGAGAGCCAACGAGGGCCGGCAGCCTCAAACAGTCAGGGGACGGGAGATCTCCCGCGCCAGGCCGGGGTCCTGGTGCGAGCAAGAGCAGAGCAACGTAATATGTCCGGCACAACGTATGTATATGAGGCGGGAATATCGTTGCTGAGTTTCGTTCACGACGGTCGCCGAGGAGGAGAAAAAAAGCGAGGAGCAGAAGAGAGTTTGTCGCGCGGAGCTGAAGAGTCAAGCGAGTCCGTGGTCGGCGGCTTTTGGGGTGGGATGGGTGGAGGGCCGCTGATAAAGGTGATAAGATTCGCTAAGGGAGTTTAGCCCAACGCTGAGAAGAGTTTGGGTGGCCGCTCGCTGCAGGTGCGGCCCTGTTCCGTTCCTGATTAAGGTAGGTAGGTATTTGCGACTAATAGACCGGTCGAGCTGGGTGTTTGTGATCATGATAACGCAGCCGTAGAAGCAATCTGGGCGCCATGGGGCCGTGGTGCCGATGCATCCATCGGTCGGCTTTTGAGGGGCGAACAGAGACGGGACGGGGCTTCGCGGTAGACTCTGCCAACCCAATTGCCGGGCCAAGGCAGAGATTTCTCAACAGCAGCAACAACTAATCACCCAGCCGTAGCACAGCGTCTTCGCGGACTGCGGATGCTCGACGCAGGCGACGTGGCGCCAGTGCGCCTCGTGCAAGCGCGTGCTGAGGCGCCCTCGCGCGAAGCAGACGTAGCGATGCCATCACCAATCACGGGTACAGCGCGGCGGGAAAGAGCCGTTTCCGGGGAAGCGCTCGGATGCCGCGCCAGGCGAGACTTGTCGAGGCAAGGCGCCATGGTGGCTGGCTGGCTACGTAGTTGGCACGACAGCTGCGAGCTGCGAGGAGGGTAACGTATGTACCTCCTTATTAGCTCGCCCTCCCTCGCTCGGGTGTGTGAGGACAGAAGGGTTCCTTGGGTTCGCTGACTCTTTGCGGCGTGCCGAAGCGGACGGATGGACCCTTTTTTCTCGGGAGCGGGGTCGGAGGCGCCGCACCGGCTGCATCTGCCCATGCAGGACCGGCGGGAGCAGCAGCGCCAGCAGCACAGGCGGGCAGGTGACAGGGTCCGTGGCTGGCGGGCGCCAGTCGTGGCTTGCTTGTTGTTGTTGGTGGTGGTGGTGGTGTTTCGGGTGCCGCCGTGGTCGCGGGCGACTGTCACGCAGGGCGCGAACTGGAAGAGAGAGAGAGAGGATGGCGTCACGACAATCACGACACCAGCCAAGATGCTCCTGCACATACAGAGCATCACCTACCTACCTAACCTACAGTACGGCACCGTTCTCGGACTGGAACAGGTACGTACCTACCTTAATCCTCTGCAGGGTCTGCCGTGAGTGCCTGAGGTTGTCGTCCGTCATTGATTGGACTGGCCGCCTTGGGCAGTCGCCCAGTGAGTGTATCGTGCCTGCCAAGTACGTCACGGCGTGGATTTCATGGGGCGCCCCGTGGTAGCTTCGCAGCGACACCGATAGTGACACATCCATGATGCATCCACCCATCGTGCATCTGCGACCGGACTCGACCGCCCGCGCAACGCCATCCAACAGACAGGCGACGCCCAACAACGCGGCATCACATACACCTTCGTACTTGCAGTAGGCGCCTTGCGTACGTCGGAACATGCCCTCAACTGCGGACCCCCGTCCAGGTGACCCGACCTGACTCCCCCGTCAAGTGTCACTCACTACACGGACAGACAGACCGGCAGAGCGAGCGCCAGTCTTGCGGCCGCTCGTCGCAGCGCCATGCCAGACCAACATGCAGCGCCAGAAGGCCTCACACGCAGCCTCCGTCGGACCCGTGCATTGGCTTTGCCCTCGCTGGCCAGCCTTGGCGTCCACCGAGAGCCGGGCCACATGCGTTGCACGCCGAGCTTCGTCAATGCGGCGGACCTGTGCCATTCATTGCACGCTCCATTTCGTCCGCCCGAGGAGAAACGCACGCCGGGCCATCTGCCGCCGCCGAGAGACGTGTATGCAGGAACCGGAGACAAGGCATAGGATATGCCATGGGCTGTCATATCCATGCCTGGACGATATCCTCCCGACCAGCGTCTCCGCCACGCTTTCCGCAGTCACCTAGCATGGCAAGGCCGCAGTCCGCATCCCAGTCCCCGCGAGATGCGGCAAACCCTCAGAAACCTATAGCCCTCGTCTCCACGCGCGTCCTTGCCGAGCTGGGTAGGATCAAGATCCCCGCGCGTGCTACCGAAACGCATGATAGACTTTGATGACTTGAAAGCACGTTAGATGACAACCATCATGCTGTAGACATGTTGGCTCAATACCAAGACTGCCATTATTGGCTTGGTCCTCAATGCTATACCTTTTCCCAAGCATTTCAAGAGCCTTATCGCACGGCAGCCCACGAGACTCACGCACAATACCTCAGGTGAACTGGCAACTTAGAGTTGGCGAATCCTCCGCGTTCAGCAGTCTGGCATCGTTTTGCATGAATCGTACCCGCCCGGCCGCCCAGACTGACCGAGTTTCACGCATCCGTTGCGGCTGCGTCCCCGTCAGTGACGGTGAACCATGGACGCCAGGCGACTGTCAGACACGATGATCTGGAATGTTCCGGCTTGTGAGATGAAAAGACCGCAGACTCGCGGAGTGAAGCATATATATATAAGTGTATGTATCAAGACAGAGAATCTCCATCTCAAGGGCAGCAACGACCACTGCACCACAGGTCGGTCGCAGCTTTGCCGGGCCATCCCCTTTTTTCGCAGAGTAAATCTTTCAGGTCACTCGTTCTAGTTCACGCTGTTTCATTTGCTTTACCATGGTCTCTGCAACCCTTCTCGGCCTTCTGGCCGCCTCTGCAGCGGTCCTTGCCCATCCGGGGGACAGGCCGCTCTGTTCCGACAACCAGGCGCCGGATGCCAGCGGCCACCTTCCACCATGCGTCCAGGTCGCGGAAACCGTCGCCGCGAACGCGGGACTCGACCGTCGTCCGCGGAGCCTGCTGGTGGAGCAGGCAAATGGCCTCCCCGTCGAAATGGTGCCTCGCGATGACCTCGCCGAGCGCCAGGCTAGGCGCCCCCCGGCCACGTTGGAGTCTCGTGGCGACGATCTCGTCGGACGTCAAGCACGGCGCCCTCCGGCCAAGCTGGAATCGCGTCAGGCCCGGCGACCTCCCGCCAAGATGGACGCCCGGGATCTCGTTGATCGTCAAGCCCGCCGACCTCCAGCCAAGGTGGAGTCTCGACAAGCCCGACGGCCACCGGCCAAGATGGAATCTCGACAGGCTCGCAGGCCCCCGGCCACGGTGGAATCTCGACAAGCCCGCCGACCTCCTGCAACAGTGGAATCTCGGCAGGCACGGAGGCCCCCCGCCAACTTAGGGCCCCGCGACGATCTCGTTGAGCGTCAGGCCCGCCGACCTCCTGCCACGGTGGAATCTCGACAAGCCCGACGGCCGCCTGCTCAGATGCACGCGCGCGATCTTGTTGATCGTCAGGCCCGCCGACCTCCTGCCACGGTGGAATCTCGACAGGCACGGAGGCCCCCTGCCGAGCTCTCGCCTCGCGCCGGAGAGGGGGAGAAGTCCACCGCGCTGGTAGGAGGCGGGGGCGAGCCTGAGGCGATGTCCAAAGATGAGAAAGCAGACGCAGTGGAACGGGCCAAACTGATCGAGCAGATGGACAAGGATCTGGAAGCCCTCTCGGGTGTACAAAAGGGCGTGCTCGAAGTAGCGAGCAGCAGCGGGAAGTCTTTCTGGGATCCAGCAGACTTCACCAAGACAACACACTTCGCCACACAGTATGGCGATATGAAGGCTGCGCTGAACTCGACCGGTCTCGCCATGATGGCGGCTCAAGCTTCTCACAAGATCCTGCCAATTGTGAACCCAGCGAGGGTTGTTTACGTGCGAATGAACTCGTCACACGATGTGTTTTCCAGGAAATTTCCCGGACACTCTGACCTCGTCCAGGTCAAGGACAAACTGCAGCAGGCTGACGACATATTCAAGACCATCAACGACACTGCATGGAGAGCCAGCAAAAACGCCGAGAAGACTGAGGCCGAGGCCGTGAACGCGACGTTGAAGGTCTTCCCAGGCCCTTTGATTTTTCCCAAACTCGAAGCGCCCATTGATCTCAACTGGGAGTTCAACGAAACGAACAACAGGGCGCATTGGCTAGCCAGGGCTGAGGCCTGGATTCGTATCAACGCGCAGGTGTACGCGCACATTGTCTCCGTGGCAGCCACGGTCTCGTGCGAAGCAGCGAAGAAGGGAAATGTGTCGGCTACCGAGGAGGCCCTGCTGCTTGCGAGCCAGTCAAAGACCCGGGTAGAAAATCTTGTCGTCGAGGCGACGAATCCTCGTGGCGAATTGAAAAGCATAGTTGAGGAACTTGAAGTTGCCCAGCCTCTGCGTACATACACGAGCGGTATGCTTGAGTCGGACAAGAAGACCAACCTCACGGAAACAGTCATCAAGGAGCTCGAGAAGGCAAAACAGTGTCATGCTGAGGTAACTTCTCGTCCGTCGGCCGCCCTCCCGTCCGATACTACGGCAGTTTCAGTCGAGGCAGAAGTTACGCCAGCGGCGACGACAACTATCCCTCTTGAGGCCGCTGGAGGTCTTGCCAAGGCAGATGTTACCATGACGGCCACTCCTCACCCACCCGAGGACTCTCATGACGACAAGATGTCTGCTTCCGCTGCAATGAGTGACAACGCAAAGGGAGCTGCCAGTTCTACATCGGCCAAGGCTATTTTAGCGGCGGCACCCACACCCGCGATGTCCCAAAGCGCGGACAAGCCCGGTGAGCCGCCGGCTGCTGCAACTGATGGGAAGCTTGGAACAGAGGCTGTGAACGGAAAGCCACATGTCCCGGCTGCCAATGCTCCTGTGGAGGAGAAGAAGGTCGTCCCCAGTGCTACGGCAAGTGCGCCGGCCAACAGCACCGTAAAGACGAACGGGAGCGAGGACGACGATTGTCCTGCTGAGACGCCCGATTCGATGGCGTACCTTGGATCTGTGGCTGTCAAGCATACGGTGACAACCGGCGGCGTCGTCTCAAAGGCCGATGAAGAGGAAGAGGACTGTGACCCGCCTGATACTGGGTCGGCTACTGCTGCCAACCAGCCTGGCCGCTCCGACATTGCTGACGAAGACGAATGCCCAGAGGAGGACGAGACGAAAACGACTCCCGATGCTCCTGCTACACGGCCACAGGGCGTCAGTGGCTCCAACTCAGGCGTTAACGTCAGCGTGACAAATTTCGTTAACGTCACAGCCAACATGATCGTCATCATTTGCGAGTCGATGGCTCCTGGATCGCGTTGCACCCGTCAACCCAACAGTGATTCGACGTCTCAAGACGGCAGTCATCCCAATGCCAGCACGGGAGGCAAGCAACCCTCGGATTCTCAGGCCGCCAGCCCCAGCATAGTTGATGTCGACAAGCAATCTGGTGTGGTAGTACTGTGCAGTTCGGTGACTGTAGAGTCTCGGTGCATCTGCCAGCAAGGTCGTGGCGAGTCGATACCGTCTGGTGAAGCTACCCAGACCAATGTCGTGCTCAACTGCTCCTCTGGCCCGGACTCACCCTGCACAGTGGAGAAAACGTACGAAGGTCCCAGCTCCGACCTCGGCAAGGTCCACAATGGTGTCGCCCCTCTGGCTCCTCTTCCCTCCTCCGACGAGCATGGCCCCATTGCTGGTCCCGGAACCGATGATCAAGAAGCTGGCAAGACGCCCGCAGGAGGATCCAGTTCCCAGACGGCCAGCAAGAAAGTGGCAGGCGATTCTGGTATCCCGAATGATGCAGACCGTCCGGGTTCTTTGCCCGGTGTTGAAGACGATCATTCTGGCGATGCCGGCCCAGCAACCGACGTTCCAGCTACCAGGCCTGCAGGTTCCACTTCCATTGAGAAAGATGTAGGCAAGGGGAGCAGGGTTGAGGCCGACAAGATGCTCCAGCCAGGCACCGCGCCGGCTCTCGGGGTTGCTTCAGCACCGCTGGATGCTGAGGATGACTACTCTCCCCTCGGCGAGACGGCAGGTCAAGGCCCTCGAACGAGCCTTTCCCCTCCAGACTCAGCTCGGAAGACTGCAGCAAGCTCCCCTCTCCACACCGATGGCCCTGAGCCACAAGCTCTTTCTGAGCCACCCATTGTCGTGGTTAACGGTGCCTCGCGTGTTGGGCCATTCCTAGCCACAGTTGTAGCCGCTATAGTGGCTCTTTCGCTATCCTGATGGACGGCATTTTGCATTGACGCACCGTCTTCTTCTACATGTAATGTCTTATATACAATGTTTTATAGTAATTCTGCCACGCTGGAGGTAAGAATGGGGGGAGGGGGCTCTGGTTGCCGGTTACAAGATAGCAAAGACAAATTGATGGCCCCCGAGGACCAAATCTACTCCTTGCTTGCCTGAAGTCCCGTCACCTGACACGTCTCGGGCCTTGTTGGGCTGCTTGAGATCCTCGAGTCGCACGAAAGGTGCCTCGTGATCACCAACGAGAGATGTTCATCTCATGTCGTACAGCACCAGGGTGTAGCGACTTTCGCTCCAGTCAGCGACGCCCGTCGATGTTGTGGCCACCCACCTGTTCTCCTGGAGCCTCCACGTGGCTTGGAACGGAGTTTCTTGCAGGAGCCATTGACAGGCGCGGCGTTTGCTCGAGGCACTGCAGTGCTGGTATGGCGCGCCGCGGGTGGCCCAACCACGTTGGCCCAACAGTTGGCAGCCCGTCGGTGAGTTACTCCTGGACATGGATCATTGTCCCCTCACTATCTGTTATAATAGAGTGCCGTTGCGCATGCGAAAGTCCACAGCTATCGGGCGTGGGCATTGTAAATATCCACTGGCATTATAGCGACTTTTCTCCGAGATGGCAGACTCTTACGGGAACCTCATCCTCCAGCTTCGAAGCTCCACTCCGGCCGAACAAGTGGCTCACCTGAGAGCCGCAGCCGGCGAGCCGGGCGTCGACAAACTGTCCTTGACAAACTATCTTCTCCATGCCGTCAGTCGCGGGGCCAGGCCCTTTCCTCGGCGACGATTCCTATCTGGATCAACGTCGCAAAGGACCCGAGATCCACCGTTGCCGCTCTGTGGCAGTCTTTCAGTGAGGTCGGACGAAAGACGGGATGAAGTACTTTGCTCAGCACCTCCAGAGCGATGACACTATCGAAGAGGCGTGGGCAGCCGTCGGTGGTGCGGAGGGCCTTGCCAGATTCATCGGCACCCTGAGTGTCAAGAACGTGAGGTGCCTCTGTCGGAGTCTTGCCAAGAACCCGAAGGCGATTAGTGCGCAGAACAGGCGTCGCCAACTCATGTCAGAGCTGTTCGTCGTACCTGCCCCCGGTTCTCGGATCCATTGTCGTCCAGCGATCAGGGCCAGGCACGGGATGAGCGTCCACTCCAGCACTTATATGAGTTGCTTCTGCTAGTATGTGACGCAGAGACAGTTATGCGCTGGGGCTAGGCGCAAAAAAACCCAGCGCACAAGAGTTCTCCTTCTCAGAAACGCCTGAAGCCGCACCTTGGAATCGCACATTCGGAAGCTTTTGGACAGCACGCTCTTGGCGACTTCTTTGCCAAAGCAGGTGCTCCAGAGTGGTATGAATTAAGGGAATTAGAACGGTTCTGTATGCGCGATCTACAATTCGCTCTCCGTGTTCTGGAAAACACATCAGGTGCAGAGTTGCGGACACTGGAATCGAGTGTGACCATGGCCAGCCTCAACAATCTCGCAAGACGACTCATGATACAACGTGCCAGTCGAGGAAAGTCACCCGGGTTATGGGCCTTGGCGATGCGGTGTCTTGAAAGATGCAAAGCCCTTAGGAGTAAGATCGGAGTCGATGGCGCTGCAAGGCGGAGTTCTCCGTCAAAGCGCAATGGCGGAATACAGAGTCGGGGGATCCTGTATTATGCCGTCAGAGAATGGGCCCGATCTCGCTGCACGGCAGAGACGGATGCTACGTTGGCGACTCTCATCGGCATGATGCCAGAGTCCGCCACCAGAGGCCTTGCCCTAGAAAAGCTTCTTCGACCAGCCCCATTCACAATCAGATATACTTTGCTGCGGCTCTTCTTCCGACATGCCAAAGGATTCGAGGTGGACATCGGGCCAGCCGACTGCAAGGACGCGATTGCTCGGGGTCTGACTCTCTTCGCCCAGGACTTGCTTTCTCTTCCGCCCATCGAGTCTCTTGCGCTTCTTGAACGATTACTAGCATCAGACCACGACGCCTCATTCCTGCACTTGCATCCGGCGAGGCGCTCGTCCTACAATTATGAGTCGAGTTCTCTTGTGAACCTGGCAGTCGGTCCCCAGAAGAACATCGCCGACCCCGACATCTTACGAGCTCTCCTGCTGCGGTCCTCTGATCCAGCCAAGATCATTCTGCCGGAAGATCCAGTGGCGATGATGAGCAGGCTCAAAACCGACGAGCTCTCAGTACGGAAGAAGAACGCCATGAAAGGCCGGTCTTCCGACGAACGCGCATTCTGGACACGATCTGCTCTACACCTGGCCGTTGCGATCGGAGACCTGGACCTGTACGCAGAAACGCTGCTGTGGACCAGGCGATTCCAGAAGGGCTATGTCACACAAAACGAGATGCTTTCTCGTCAGACGGTCTATACGCAAGGGTGTTGACCTCTTGTGCCTCCTCCCGACCAGACTCCGACCCTTCACGCATGACCAGAGGCCAACCGAGTCTGCTGTCGAGAAGGCAAACATGATTCTTTTCCTTTTCATTGAAAACCACATGCTGGCCACAAAAGAGCCAAACTACAGCTCGTCCGACTGGACAAACGTCATTAGCTTAGTGCGCGAGGTTGCATGACAAAGACTCTGTCGCTGTGATCGTTTCCAGCAGCACTTCGGCCTGTCAGACTCTGAGGTCTTCGCCCTGCTGCTCGAGCCGACGATATCCCTTTTGGTAGCTCTCGAATATAGGCTGCTCCATCCCAAACACGAGGAACGGATACAACTCCGGGCTTCTGCGGCGTGGCCACTCGTCAGAGTCTGTGATTCGCAATCCGAGTCAAAATACAATGATCTTCCTGGACAGAATGGCACGGGCACGAGACGAGCTCTGGGAACAGTATCGCAAAACCATGACTCCGTCTGTCCACGACCTCAAAGCGCCGTGGCCGCGCGGCCATCCGATTCAGTCGCTAGTTCCGTTCAAGGTCAAGGGACCTTGCAACATCCCATACGTGGAGTCTCGAGTCAGAAACCTGGTATTTACGGATCCGCACGTGTTTCTGACACCTTGGAGCAATGACAAGGACGAGAAGGAAGCCATTGGGCCTTATATCGACAACTGGAAGACAGCCCTGGAGTTCTATGTTGAAGCAGGGCCAGTGGCCGATCGCCGGAACCGGATCCGATTAGCTTGGGATCATGCTACCGGCCCTCTCAGTGAAAGTCGGATGTCGCTCACCGAAGCGTATAGGTTCTGGTCCCCGACCTTTGCTCTACTGGATGTAAAAACGAAGGATCTGCCCACTTCGTATCGCCAATGTCCACAAAGAGACTTATCTTGTCCAAGGATGCCGCGGCCCGACGACCCATCTGATCCCATTGAGTGGAACCCGGAATCGGTCTTCGTGTCCCACCCCGAGCGAATAGAGGAGCGCGAGTTAAGCCTGACGTATCTGGACATCATGCTGGACGACATGGAGGATAAAGCACCATGCGGCGAGGAGTTCAGAAGAAAATCTTCCATACCCGCCGTCGAGTACTCCTTGGATCTGTGGCAATTCCAGAAATGGAAACGGCGACTCCTGCCCGCAGATACAATCGACGTGGTGCTCGGCGCAGCCCTTCTTTGTGTAAACAGCTGCCTTAGTGGCCGGTCCTCGCTGCTGATTGCGCCATTTCCGAGTTCCATGGAGGCAAGATTCCCCGCGCTTTATCTGGAAGAAGAGTTTCTGGAAAGAGCGTCGAAGACAAGCCACTGGGCTTACGCAGCACTTCACAAGTTTAAAAGAGACATCCCCATCACACTTCTCAAACGGCTGGCTTCGTCGATGTTCCAAGAGGGCAAGGTCAACATCGATGCGCAGGCCAGACACCACCGCCGTGACTTTGTCATACTGAAGCTTCTTTCCGAAAGCGACGATCCCTCCGTCGTCTGTTCTTTCATTCAGGATACTCTCAAGACGCCGGAGGGTAGCTCATGGCACCGCCTGCTGCTCAGTGCCGGCCTGCTACGGTCTCTGCCTCCGTGTACAGTCCAGGATGTCCTCCTGGAGTTCGCAACAACCCTGTTTGGCACGGATGAGCCAGACCCGGGAGTACAGACCGCGTCGAACCCCGAAGCCCGCCGTCCACACGTCAAGGTCACCACCGTCAAGATGCTGGCGCAACTCTTGCAAGACGCGCCTTACGCTAGCCCAGGTTTTTCTGTAGAGCTTCTTGGCAGAATCCTCCGTGGGTCAAAGCACATTGATGTTCACGCTGCGGCCTTGGCCAGCTTGGTCGACATCGGACTAGCCACCGAATGCGACAACGTCGGGGACAGTGTCATTGAGAAACTCAGACAATATGCTGTCCCGAGAGCGTCTTCTGTTCATGAATTCCGTGCATTACGTGAAGAGCAGTGGCAAGAGGCGGAGCGGAGCGGTGCCGTTCCCGAGATCTGGGACTCCATGGAAGATCCCCCTGTCGTGAGCCTGCTCACCAAAGCCGCAAAGGCCTTCAAAACACAACACGATTCGGGTGGCAACGGTTTTATGGACGTTTTCATGGAAGCTATGCAGGCTTCTGGTAATGTACATCTCCGTTGGATGGAAGTGTTCATGGCTAAGCACGGATACGCGCTCGGAGAGGACGAGCGTCTTCCCGCTGTCCCTTTCCGTGTCAAGGCTCTGAACGACGCCATGCCAAAATTCCAGGCCTCTCCTGAAGCGTTTGACACGATGAAGCGTCATGCGCTCCTCAACACCAAACCAGGACCTGGCTTTCAGCATCACGGCCTCAATCAAACAGGACCCAAAATTGTCATTCACTACTGCTGGAAAGCATTGGCTTGCCCTGTGGGATAAAGGGGTCGGCGCGTTTTTCGACTTTGGCGGCTCCTGGGCCATCAGACAACTGGCCCGGCTGACTTCGGGCTTCGAGCCCGACGAGGTCGATATGGGCGTGGGCGATGTTGCCGCACTGGAATCTTTCATGTGGGAAATGGTTGACGTGTTCCTGTCAGAAGGTCAGGCTGCAGCACTAACGAGAATGATTCAAATTTACATCAACAACACACGATGGTCGAAGGACATGAGCGCAGCGGAGAGTGTGCTTCAGCGCATCGTCGACAAGGTCGATAGCATGCGAACAGAGGATTGGCAAGGGGATTACGATCGCAAGCCCAGACTCCTACCCAGCACATTCGACATCAAGCTAGAGACCCTGCGGATGTTGTATTCCTTGAAAGACGACAGAGACAGCGTACCGATGGATGAGGAGGACAGGTCGCGACTCGCGACGAAGACCGTGGCCCTGATCCGCGACATGGCCGCAAACGAAATGCCGTACCACATTGTATTTGAGAAGCTCAAGGCAAGTTTGGCACGGGAAGCCAGGTCCTGCATTCAGGTTGCAGTGCTCATCGGCTCCGTGGACGACCTAGAGCGGCCTGTGATCTCCGACTACCTCCGGGTTGACCTCGCGGCGGCAATGCTTGAGCAGAAGACGTATTTCCACGGCAAGGTGGACAACTGGGACGGTCATGTTGTTGAGGTGGTGAAGAAGATGCTCGATTCGTGGGAAAGAAGTCCCATTGAGTACATTCGCAACGCGGCGAGGCCGTTTGGAACAGAGGAGGATGGCAGGCTTGCATGACAACAAAGATTGCTAAGAAGGTATTTGAGGCTCTCGGGCATGTGCTGGATGCGTTTCAATTCATCGGGGAGGTAAAATTTTGTGACATATTCTATATGCTTGAGACAGTCATCAACCGTCAAGTTCTGGTGCAGACGTGCTCTATGCCGCCTCCTTCTTGATGCCAACCACCACAAGGTTCCTTGGGCTCTCCTTGTAGTCAAACACGGCCTCCACCCATGCATCCTCGACGACGTCTGTCTGCTCCTTGAGGTACGTCCACCGATCAGCCACGATCAATGCCTCGACCACCGTGGCGCTGAACGCCATGAGGCTCCATATCACGCACAGCTCCTTCCGACGCGGCAGGTACGCCGCCTCATAGGCATCAATCTCCTCGTCGGTGATGTTGGCCATCTTCTCGCGCATCACGTCCGCGTACTGCTTGTGGTCGCTGCTCGTGGTGAGCTTCTCGATCGCGCCGCGCACGTAGCTCCGCAGGGAGCCGTAGCACGACTTGCGCAGGGAGCCGATAGTGACGGGATTGGTGCTGCAGTTGAACGGCCCGCAGCGCACTTCGGCCGTCCCATCTCCCAAGACGGCGTCGTCGTCGCGGTTGGACTGGTCGTGGTAGATGCGGCTCACGACACCGCGATCGAGGAAAATCTTCTGCAGCACGGCGCGGAAAAAGTGTCGGGTGAAGAAGGCCTCGCTGTCCTCGTGGGACCAGTTCTGAGGGGCCTGGCACGCCATCATGCGGGCGGTGATGTTGAGTCGCACTCCGGCATCGCCGTCCTTGCCGTCTGCTCGCTCGCCGGCGCCGGCGCTTGTCGTTGCGAATCTCTCGCTCATGGGGAAGCCCTGCGGGTCGCGACGGTCTGACTCGCTGAAGACGCGGCCGTTGACCGCCTGGAGTGAAGGGCGCAGGTAGGTGTGCTTGTATGTCGGCGGCCCGAGACGCTCCGTCATGAGGTTGTAGCAGCAGCCGACGATGGCGACGGCGCGTATCGACGGGTTGAGGACCAGGGAGCGTATGCCAAAGTGCGAGAGGTTTCCGCACGAGTGGATGGATATGGCCATAAGTTTTAGCTTCCTCTGTCGCTCGCTCTCACTATCCCGAACTTCTAGGTCGCTCTCAGAAGAAGGATTCGAGTCAATCTTTGCGATGACCTCGGCAAGGTCGCCGCTGTCGAGCCGACCAGACACATACTGAACTTGACCCTTGCCCTCATCGACCGAGTATGTCCACCCGAGCTGGTCCATGGGCCGAAAGTCAAACGCTTCGGACCCAGCGACTTGTTTCACGGCGGCGGCAAGAGCCTCGGGGTCGTCCTCCTTGTCGGCGCCGCGAACCTCGAGGATCTGATTCCAGAGCTTCTTGTTTCGCATCACCTTTTGCTTGATCGCGAGGCCGGATAGGCGATCGAGGACCCGTGCGCCGGCAACGTTGTTCTCGCGACCCTCCACGGCGACAACACGCCTGTTGTACGGCTCGCTGGCAAGAGCGCGACCGAGGTAGTTTTGGCCGCTGCCAAAGTCGACAAAGTGCGTGATGCCAGCGTCTGCCGTGCTCCCACTCGTGGGCGACGAGGTAGATTGGATGTCGTCTGAGAGACGAGTGAGGTACGAGGCAAAGCTGGAGACCTCATGGATCTTCTTGGGCTTCATCCCCACAGACACAGACCGCGGAAGGACGGGCAGCTTTTCCGCAGGCGTGTGAAACTGCCGGTCCATAGAAAGATCGCGGATGGACCTTATGTACCGCAGCAAGCTCTCTGGCGGCTCACTGCCGTCCTCAAAGTCCAGCTTGTCGAGATCATCCCTCATAAACAGGTCCAGGAGCCGCATCATGTCCTGCGCCAGCAAGAAGTCGTGCCATTCTCGCGGCAGGGCGGCGTAGAAGAGCCCCGGCTCGGAGGTGAAGAAGTCGAGGATGTGGACGCCGCCGCACAGGATCTGGAAGATGTCCGTCGTGCGGACGAAGCGCAGCAGCGCCTGGACGTACTCCTCCGGCGAGGAGAAGTCGCCGACGAAGGGCAGGGGGCGTGCTGGCGGCATGATGCCGCTGCGGGCGCGTGAACGCCTTGGCTACCCTGGACTGAGATGAGTTTTTCTCTGATTCAACGGAGGGGTTTGCGTGAGCAGCAGCGGCCGTCACTTACTCGTGGACACAAATCTATTTGGTCACGCTCTGTGAGTTGACGATGCTGCGGCGTGGACCCAGGGTGTGCTGGTAATGATGGTGAATTACAAGGCTGTGGGTTGCGGATGACAGGTTCATTGAGGTTAAAATTTCGTGGCGACAGCGTCTTTGTTGGTGGTTTGGGGCCAGTCCAACCACTCCCTCCTCTACAACATCACGCTGGACAGCCGTCCAAGTCCCCACGCGCATAATACGACGTGAGAGCTTTTCACAAGTAGAATCCCCCCTTCTACTTCTACCCACAGTTTCACGAATATCGGAGGGATTGAGAACTGCAACACGACTCCCGCAAGGTGGTCGGAGGTGGTTGCTGGCAGTGACATCCAGTGCTAGCTGTAAGTTGATTGGCCTGGGCGGCGGCCGGCTCAGCGCCTCGCCAGCAGCATGGAACGTCATCCGCCAGCGCGGCCCCAGGGCGGGCGGCCACCTAAACGGACAAAACGACAACCCAACTCCAGCATCACCAGCCGACCACCACAGTCACCCTCGCATGCGGCCCTCTCGCGCATCGCAGGCCGGCCTCCCAGACAAGCCGATGCGCATCCCAGCAGCCGCACCGCCAAGATGATGTCCTCCACCAACGAGGAGGACCCCTTCCTCCAGGTCCAGCAGTACGTCGTCGCCGTCCTCGTCCTCCCCCCATCCCGCGGCCCCCTCGTCGTGCGTCGCATCACCACGCTGCTGCCTCCCCTCGCCTCTTCCCATCCGCGCACCACCGCAAGTGAGTAAACGAGTCTAACCCCCCGAGCAGAGATGTCCTCGCGCAGCTCTCGTCGACGCGCCCCCTCTTCGCCTCGTACCTCCGCATCCGCTCGCTCTCCACCTCCCCCTCCTCGCCCGAGCTCGCCTCCGCCCGCGACGACCTCGAGTCCGCCCTCGGCTCCCTCGCCGAGGACCTCGCCGACCTCGTCGCCTCCGTGCAGGCCATCGAGCGCGACCCCGCCCAGTTCGGCATCTCCGCCGACGAGGTCGGCCGCCGCAGGCACCTCGTCCAGGAGGTCGGCGGCGAGATCGAGGATATGCGCGAGGAGCTCAACAAGAAGCTCGCCACGGGCGGCGCGCGACGCGACGATGACCACAACGGCAACCTGCCCGACCCCAACTCGTTTGCCATCGCCGACGGCGACGACGGCGAGGCTGACGGGTACGCCGAGTTCGAGCAGCAGCAGCAGGTCGAGATGATGCGCGAGCAGGACCAGCACCTGGACGGCGTGTTCCAGACCGTCGGAAACCTGCGCCGCCAGGCTGACGACATGGGCCGCGAGCTTGAGGAGCAGGGCGAGATGCTGGACCTCGTTGACGAGGCGGCCGATCGCGTGGGCGGCAGGCTGCAGACGGGCATGAAGAAGCTGCAGTACGTGATGCGCAAGAACGAGGACAAGTGGAGCAGCTGCTGCATCGCCGTCCTCATCTTCGTGCTGATTCTGCTGCTGGTCCTGCTCTTGATTCTCTAGGCAGACGACACGGCCGGACTCCTCATGGGAAGCCCTGTCCTCTGCGTTTTCATTGTTGTCTTGTCGTCGAGTTACGGAAGCGGGCTAGTACATGTTTCACTCGGGTGCCTGGCGTTATGGGAGGGATACCGCCACGTCAGTATGGTTTCGTTGCACGAGGCAGCGCCATCTTTCTTGTATACATAGAAAGCAGAAGAGACCTAGATAATGCCTCAAGACACGCATGCTCTATCGAGCTCCCAGCAACGCCGCAGTCCCGTCGGTGCCTGCAAGAAAAGGCCCAACTCCCACCAAACGCCAATACCCTCTCCACCCCTACTCTCCATGTCTGAGCAAATCCAATCCCCGCTCGTATTTAAAGTCTAAGCCAGGACCAGTCCACCTTCGGTCTTCAGCACCTCCGCCAGCGCGAGCAATGACCCGGCAGCAGAGGCGTTCTGAGGCGCCTTCTTGGGGAATTCGACGAGGGCGAGCCGCAGCGCGGTCACCGCGGCATTGCCATAAAAGTTGAGAAATCGTTGCTCGTGACCGTCTATCATTGACCGCAGGACGACGTACTGCGTGTTGGACGTCTCGTTGGGCGGCGTGTTGATAATGCCGGCCATGGCCTTCCAGTAGTGTGTGGGCGGATACGGGTTGACCTTGGAGGCCTTGCTGAAGTCGCGGAGAGAAATTGACGCAAAGCCGGCGCCAAGGCCGGCCATCCTGTCATTGTGGCTCTGTTCCGTGATCCATGACGGCCCATCCTTGCGCCAACCGATGGCGAGACGGCCACGTTCCGTCCTGTCGCTGCCCCGGAAGCCAAACAACACCGGGCAGACAACCCGAAACTTGGCGATAAGGATGTCGATCAGAGACTTCCCCCGCCACTGAAAGTCCTTGTGTGAGAAGACTTGCGCCGTGAATACGCCGATGGGGTCCGCAGCCTTCGGGTTCGGGCCGCACTCATTGATGAATTGACTAATGACGCCCTTTGCACAGATGTTGATGAGGTAAATGAAGAGGGCCGGAAGGGTTTCTTCGTTGTAGGTGGCGCCTTCGACCGGCTCACGGGGTTCCACAACGAAGCGGCCGACCTGAATGGGAGGGCTAGGCACCTGTCCCCCAAGCGACTCGCGCAGAATGCCCATGATTTTGCTCGTCTATGAAAGTGTCAGCAAATGGTCAGGACGAAGGGTTGCCTGGCAGACGGACTGGTTGAGCATTTGCACCCTTGCCACCAGTCAATTGGCCAATAGCAACGCGAATCTCTCTCCGAAACGTGCCCATCTTTCCCTTCAACGGTGATCCAGGGACCTTGGACTGGGCCGTGAGGTCCTTTCTTAGCTTCTTCAACTCCTGATGGATCTGTATATATCGATCTGCCCCGAGCTGTGCCGCAGGCCGTGCTTGCTTCTGTGGCTGGGGAGGAGCTTGCTGTCCAGGTGTGGGCTTGGATTGGATCGCCGGTGTTGTGCCAACGGGCTTTGGTGGTGCGGCGGCAGCTGCTGGCGGCGTTCCGAAAGGACTACCAGCAGCAGGCTTGGCCTGACCTCCAAAGACTCCATTCAGTTGAGGCGCGGCGGGTTGCGGCGTAGCCTTTGCTTGGGTTGGGGCTGCCTCGGCAGGCTTCTTCGGCTCCAGAGATGCTGGCGACGCCGGCTGTGGTTTCTCGACCTGCTTCGGTGGCTCGGGTGCGGGCGGGGGAGGGGCTGGTTTCGGTATCGTCTTGGCCTTGAGCTCTTGCAGCCTCTTCTCTTCCGCGGCAATCTCGGCCTCTGCTTTTAGCCTCTCCTGTTCCCGCCTCTCCTGGTCCAGGATGCGCTGATGCTCCTCCTTGAGCTCGTGCAACTCGTAGACACGCAGTGCTGCCTCGCGGATCCGCTCGTGCTCCGCCTGCGCGGCCGCCAGGGCATCGCGATGGCTCAGCTCGGTGTTGCGCTCGTCGAAGAGAAAGCTGGATCGGTAGCCGCGGTCGGGACTGGAGAATTGGCTCCTCCGCAGAGGCGATGAACGCGTCATGATGGGATGCGAAGACGGGCCAGTGGGCGGCAGCTATCGCACCAACATTTGGTGCAATTGTCGTATCGGGCACCGAGGCCTAGTAGAAACCGTCCAGGTCAAAGTGCGGCGCCGTGTTGGGCGGTGCTATCGGCTCCTGTGCCTCGCCGCCGGGCTCTGGTGGTGGTGTTGAGCTGGGACCGGGAGTTGCTGGATATGCTTTTTCGCGACACGGGAGTTGCGCGGTACGTGGATACTTTGGCTGCCGTGCCTGTGGTTGGGCGCGGGACGGGAGTTTGGCGTCTTCGGTGCCGCTAAAATAAAGTCCCGGATGTCCAATCGACTTTGTACCTCAACGCCCCGTCTGTGCTGACAGACGCCTGGATGCAAGCACCTCATCCAACCCGTCAACTGCTGGCTCTTTGGCTTCCTTTGAGCATTCAATTATGCCTTCGTTGATGGCATATTGAAGCATGGAGCAGCTGCATGTTGCTCGATGGCACCGGCGTTGTTTTCTGGAGCGCTCCAGTACGAGGGTCTCCAAGGTGCCCGAAACGAACCATGCTCACTGGTGATACAAGACGTCTGGTGCAGACTGGTTGTGCCTCTGTGTACGTGTAGACAATTGTACACCTTCGGCATCTGGTCTGCATTGCGCATGGTCTGCACATCCATCCTTCATCTCATGGCCCTCGATGGCGAACCAGCCCCCCGTGGTCACGCGGCCGAGAACGTCGTCGTCTAACCAGTAGCGATGGCGACACCCGTTCACGCACAGGGAGAGAGATGAGACTCAGAGTTGAAGGAGTCGTCAGCGAAGCGAAATAATGAAGTCGACCAACGGCGTCATGCAGCCACAAGAAAGCATTCGTCCGGCTCGGGCACAGATCACTCGAACAGGGGCAGGAAATTGACAAGAGCGTTTTCGTGCTTTGTGGCATGACCGTCCCTCACCGGGCCCCAGGTCACTCTCATGGCCCACGGCGGGATGGTAGTCGGTCGTGGACCGCTGGCGTCAGCCTCGTGTTCACTTGGCCTCATGCCTTGACGACGCGGACGCGAAACAGCGTGTGACGAAAACTTTATCACTGAAGCAGCCGCGACATGCGTGATGTAGAGTACCTCAGTAGAATTCAGGGGAGGGGAACTTTTCGCCAACCGTCTTGAGGTACCTGAATGCACCACCGCCACCAGAGAGGGTAACAATAGAAGAACCGGAAGCTTGATGCAACGCATTTCCTTGCCCCCCGAGCGTGAGTGTGGACAAGCACCAGAAGGGCAGGTCACCTCCCGCCACAGCATGCCAACCCATGCCCATGTAGTCGGTAGCGTAGTAATTGTTCGGGTTTGGCGGTGCCGTCGCGGCGGGCGGAAGGGCCCTTGCTCGGCGTGGCTCGATCCGGGGTACTTGAGCTCCACCACGGCGAGCGATGCGCCTTCTGTCGCATGCTGGTTCGATGAGGTGTCTGCGATAATGTACAACAAGGCAGCATTTGCTACGTCGCCGTTGCTGGGGAAGGGGCGCGTTCCGCAGCTCGGGATGCGTGACAACTTCCAGCAAGGTGGTAATACCACCAGACGGGATCCCGGGGGTACGGATGAAGACGGTACATAGCAGGACGCCGCCAGAATGGCTCGCCGCGGGGTACCGCAACGACTTCATGCGTACCTGGGTTAGCGGACGGAGCTTTGCGGAGGGTTGCGCAAGAGGCGCCTGCAGGTCTGGCGGTTGGCTGGTGGCGGGGGGCGTCGCGGTGGCGGCGCGGATGGACACCAGGTTGTGCCCATCCGCGAAGCGCGCGGCCATGTACACTGTACCGTCCTCTACATCGGCCTGCGAAAGCGGTACCTTTTTATTTGGCAGCGACGTGGGTGGTATTCACTGTCGTTAGTACATGAACGCGGGAGGAAGCATCGCCAATTCACCAGACGGCGTGAGCCACCAATCCCTGACCGGGCGAGACCGACCGAAACGGAGCGATTGCGGGGCCCGGCTCTGCGAAGTATGCCGTCGCTGCCGCGGTGTCTGCGACGTCGTGCTCGTGTTATGTGGTGCGCGGCCAGCTCGTGCACGGCAATGCACTCGCAGCACCGGCCGTCGCGGAATCGTGGTTCCAAACGAAATGGCTCCGCTGCGCATGTGCATGTGCGAGGGGACGGCGTCCAAATACTGTGTTGTATCCGTGGTCGGTCAGTACTAGACGACGGAGTCCTCGCGACGTACTGTACATCTACTGCCGCAACGGGCCTCGTAACTGCGGGCCGACGACGTTGAGGGTGGCTGGTGGCGTGCAGAGGCGATGATGTCAACCTAATGCGCATCCTTATGGATACGACAGCCAGTTCCAGTTGGCCACGGCATCTGGTTCCCACTGTGGCGCGCCCCGGCACGCTGCTGCAGGCGAAACGCTCCTGGAACCTTGTGAGGCAGGACCCTGAACAGCAACGCGGCGGGGACCCCCAGCAGCGTGGACCGGCCCATGCCTCGCTGGCTACAGGTCAAGGTTGTCTGCCCTGCCCGCGGCCTGGCTGCCCAGGGAGGTCGCGGCCGACACTCACTCACCTGCAGCCTGCAGCCCGCATCAAGCGGAGCGCAATGCCAGGCATCAGTCCCCACGGAAGCACGCGCGCGCCCGCATCACCCGGCAGGGCCCAGCAGGGCCCAGCATGCAAGCCAATGCCGTCATGACCTGCGCCTGGCCGCGTCAATCCGTCAATCCCCCCAGGCGCTCCCTTGCCCCAATCTCCTTCTCCACGGCAACTAAATGGGTGCTCCGGTGCCAGAGCCTGCTAACCTGCGAGCTAGCGGCCGTTAGCACGAGGGCAATCAATCGTGCCGCGAGATGTGCGCAGCCCGCGTTAGTGATTAGGTACCGGGCTTCCGTGGGTGCCATTGGGGCCGCCGGCGGTCGACACCGCGCGCCGGCCCAAAACGTGGCTTGCGCCTAACTGCTGCCCTTGACCTGCGAGGCGGACGGTGCCCCATGTGTCTTTCTGTGGCCGCCGTGGAAGGCGCCCGCCGTGGAATGGATTGACATGCAGAGCCGCCGCGCAACTCTGCTCCGCTGTGCTCCGCCCGGCCGGCGCTTGTCCCAGGCTGCGACCCCCGATCGACTGCCGCGATGCGCGCGCTGCGGCGGCAGCGCCTGCCAGTCAGTGGTTTGGTAGATTTCCAGGTCGTTACCTGAGGCGAGCCCGTCTTTCCAGGTTCCATCCAATCCATGGATGCCGTCCCCGTCGGTAGTGCTACTGCCCGCCTGCCAGCACTAGGTAGGTACAGCACCTGGGCAGCTCAGGCGCCTGGGGCTCCGCTGACGGCGACTCGACTCGCCCAAAAGCCAATCCAGTTCAGGGGCCCCACTGCGCGCCGCCTGCTCCGGCCAACTGGGACGACGCCGTCGCCCCCAGCAGCCAGGGTGGCCCCCGACTGCCTTGACTGAGGTGCCCGCGCGCCGGCTTCCAGGTTGCTTGCTTGACTGCCTGCCCAGCGCTGGGCCGCACTGACGCTGCCATGGAGACACGAAACCTCCACTGAGGAGGCGCGACGACGGATGGATTGCCAGAGGCCCGGCCAGTGGTGAGTGAGGGCGACTAAGGAGGTGGAGTCACTGATTCGACTTGCTCCCGTCGACACCCCCCAGCTCGCTCGCTTGGCCGGCCCCCCCCAAAGCCCAAACCTAACTAAGGCCAGCTTCCGTCACGGGCGGCTCCATAATCCGTCCTCCCACCACCGCCACCACCACTACCACCACCACACGCACCATCCATCACCCGCAGTCGCTCTTCTCCTCCTGGAGCTGGTTGTCCACCTCCCACCCGCCTCGCCTCCTCCATCATCCGTCCATCCCCGTCCTCATCCCTCATTGCCTTCCCTTCCTGTCCGACATCTGCCAGCCTCTTGCCTTGCTTCGCACACTCCTTGGTCCGCCCAGAGCTCGCTTGATTCAGACGATTCCACTCTCCTTTTGGCAAAAATCTGTCCCGCCGAGCTCTGGCTTTGCAGCTGTTCCCAGCTTCTCCCTCCCAGCCAGCTCCCACCGGAGCCACCTGTCCCCAAAAGGTCGTCGGCATCGTCGTCGCCACCCAGAGCAGCATCGCACATCGACCCCTCCGCCGACTACTCGGTCTCCCAAAAATACCCTTGCCAGCACCCGACGTGCCGCATCTATCCTATTGCCCTGCCCCTGCGTCCCTCTTGACTGCCCGTCATGGACCAGCAGCAGCAGCAACCGAAGCCGCAGCCGCAGCAGCAGCAGCAGCAGCCGGCTCAACAACAGCAGCAGCCGACAGGCGGCGTCCATGGACCTGCTGGACGCAGGCTGCACATTGCTCATCGGCGTAGCCCCTCGGAGCTCACGCCCCTGATGAGCATGTTTGCCAACCCAGGAAGTAAGTTGTCCATCCACAAGCCCGTTGCCTCCGCATCATCTCCTTCGTATCGGCACAGACGCCACCCGGGTCGTCTTGATCTCTGGGCCAGAACCCCAAGTTCCCGCCGACTTCGCCCCTTCTCCATCTTCTCCCCATCTGTCTTGTCCGCAAACGCTAACACGTATCTCCCTTCTCCAGTGGAACAGTTGGCCATCCAGCAGCAGATCGAGCTGTTGCAGCAGCAGCAGCAACAGATCCAAGCGACGCACCAGCAATACGTCAACATGGGCATGATGCCCCCCGGCCAGCCCCTTGGCCACAACGGGGCTTTCAATCCTTTGCAACCCATGGGTACCATGGGCCAGAACGCATTCCAGTTCCCCAGCCAGATGCAGCCGCAGAACCTGGGTCCTCCCTCTCAACCTCTATCACATCGCCGTAATCAGTCGGCACTGCCCAACATGGGCATGGGACCGCCTCCGGCGCCATCATCTGGCGCTTCGGGGTCCACCTTTGGTAACTTTGAAGCTCCCGGAGCCGTCCACGGCCGCGAGAACGCCGGTGGCCGTGGCGGCCGAGGTGGTGGCGGCTCCGGCTCGGGGCACCAGCGCAGGCACTCGCTGGCCCTCGCCGACGCCAAAAAGGCAGCCGAGATCGCACAACAGAAGCGAACGACGACCGGATTTCAGTTCCCCGCAGCCCCGAACCCCGACAAGCCCGACGATGAGAACACCAAGGCACCTGTCAGCCAGCCCAGCCTAGACGCGTCGGTTGCCCAGGGCTCGTCCCGCGGGCGTGGAGGCCACGGCCGGAGCCAGAGCATGGCTGTGAACGGCCGAGGTGGTTCGCGCCTGGGCGGCGATGGCGACTTCCAACGTCGTGGCGGCGGCATCGGGCATGCCCGTTCTGGGTCTCGAAACTTCGAGGGCAACTGGCGCACCCAAAACCAAAATCAAGACCAGGCTGGAGGTGCGGGCCAAGCTTCCTCCTTCCAGCCGGGTCACAGGCCACGAGGATCGATGAACCAATCCGTGTCCTCCATCGGAGCCTTCCAGTATACCCCCAACCAACCGCAGCTCATGCAACTTCCCGGGCAGATGATGATGCCCCAGATGTATGGCCAGCAGCTCAACCCAATGCAGCTCACCCAGCTTCAGGCTCTCCAGGCTGCTCAGATGAACGGGCAGGGCTTCCAGGGACTGGCCAGCTCCCAGCATGCTGGCGGCCAGCTCGGCGGCCAGCAGCAGCAGCAACGCAAGACCCTCTTCACCCCGTATCTTCCGCAGGCATCCTTGCCTGCTCTCCTCGGAGACGGTCAGCTTGTCTCGGGTATCCTCCGTGTCAACAAGAAGAACCGCAGCGACGCATATGTCACCACACAGGACGGCCTTTTGGACGCCGACATCTTTATCTGCGGCAGCAAAGACCGTAACCGCGCTCTCGAGGGTGACCTGGTCGCAATCGAGCTCCTCGACGTCGACGAAGTCTGGTCGCAGAAGAGGGAAAAGGAGGAGAAGAAGAAGCGCAAGGACATTACCGACACTCGCTCGGGCTCCATCAATCAAGGCAGCCAGAATTCTGGGCAAAACGACGACGGTAATGCTGGCGAAGGCGGCATCCGTAGGCGTGGTAGCCTGCGCCAGCGACCCACTCAGAAGAAGAACGACGACGTCGAGGTTGAGGGTCAGAGCCTGCTTCTTGTTGAGGAGGAAGAGATCAATGATGAACAGAAGCCGCTCTATGCTGGCCACGTGGTTGCCGTCATTGAGCGAGTGGCCGGTCAGATGTTCTCTGGTACTCTGGGCCTACTGCGTCCCAGCAGCCAGGCGACCAAGGAGAAGCAAGAGGCGGAGCGGGCGGCTCGAGACGGTGGCAACAGCCGCCAGAACGACAGTCGCCAGCAGGAGAAGCCCAAGATTGTTTGGTTCAAGCCTACTGATAAGCGGGTCCCGTTGATTGCTATCCCGACTGAGCAGGCTCCTCGCGACTTCGTGGAGAAGCACCAGGACTATGCCGATCGCATCTTCGTCGCCTGCATCAAGCGGTGGCCCATCACCTCGCTTCACCCCTTCGGTACCCTTGTGGAACAGCTGGGCCGCATGGGCGACCTAAAGGTGGAGACCGATGCTCTCCTGCGCGACAACAACTTCTCGTCTGACGAGTTCTCCGACGCCGTCCTGCGTAGCGTCGGGCTCCAGGACTGGTCATTGGCCAAGGAGGACGAGGCCGCGGCTACGTCTCGCCGTGACTTCCGTGAGGAACAAACGTTCACGGTTGATTACAATGGCGGTGCCGAGCTCGGCAACGCCTTCCATGTCAAGACTAGGCCTGACGGGAAGATCGAGATTGGCATCCACGTCCCAGACGTGGCTCACTTCGTCAAGCCAAACTCGCTGGTGGACCGTGAGGCCAAGAAGCGCGGAACCTCTGTTCAGCTTCTCAACCGCTTCTGCGCGTTGCTACCAACCAAGCTTGCAGCCGAGGTCTGTTCGCTCACTCCTGGTCAGGAGCGACTGACGGTCAGTGTCGTCTTCAGCGTGAACCCTCACACCGGAGCCGTCGCCGACGGGGACAGCTGGATCGGCCGCAGTATCATCAAGAGCGCCGGTAAAGTCTCGCTGGCGGACATCGATAGCGCTCTCAACGATCCCTCGTCCTTCAAGGGCGACAATGTCCCCCTTAACACGGTCCAGATCCTTCAAGGCGTTGCTCAGAAGTTCCGCGAGACTCGCCTTGGTGCTGGAGGGGAGCCTATTGCCCCCCTACGTCTCCTGCAGCAGATGGACGACGAGAACAACCCTGTGCAGGACAACATATTTGATTCCACCCAGGCGCTGGAGCTCGTGGAGGAGCTGATGCACAAGGCCAACGCTTACGTGGCTCAGCGTCTTGCCGAGGGGCTTCCCGAGAAGGCGCTCCTCCGTCGCCAGGCTGCGCCCAACCCTCGCCGCCTGCAAACATTTGTCGAGCGCATGACGGCACTCGGCTACGACATTGATGCCTCTGGAAGCGGCGCGCTCCAGAACAGCCTGTTCAAGGTGGACGACTCGGATCTGCGCAAGGGCATGGAGACGCTGCTCCTCAAGTCTATGCAGCGTGCCAAGTACTTCATCGCGGGTAAGACGCCCAAGCCGCTTTGGCCTCATTACTCTCTCAACCAGCCGCTCTATACCCACTTCACTTCGCCCACGCGCCGTTACGCCGACATCATTGTCCATCGTCAACTCGAGGCAGTGCTGTCTGAGGGCAAGATTGAGTTTACAGACGACATGGAAAACTTGGTCAAGACGGTCGAGTCATGCAACACCAAGAAGGACTCTGCCCAAAACGCACAGGAGCAGAGCATCCATATCGAGTCCTGCCGAACGATGGACAAGAAGCGCCAGGAGGCCAATGGCGACCTCATCGCCGAGGGCATTGTGCTGTGCGTGTACGAGTCGGCCTTCGATGTCCTGATCCCGGAGTGGGGCTTCGAGAAGCGCGTGCACTGCGACCAGCTGCCGCTCAAGAAGGCCGAGTTCCGAAAGGAGAAGCGAGTCCTTGAGCTGTACTGGGAGAAGGGCGTCCCGAGCTCTGCGTATGTTCCGGAGGATGAGCGCCCCAAGGCCGCTGCCTCTCAGAGGATGACCAACGCGATGGTGGCGGCCAGGCAGGCGGAGGAGGCGGAGCGCGCCAAGAAGGAGCGTGAGGAGGCGGCCCGCAAACAGACTGAGACCGGCACGATCTCGACTGACGACGTCGACGCTCTGTTCGACGACGACGAGGACAACACGTCGGACGTGACCGAGGCAATGGCCGGGGCGTCGCTGGCTGAGCGCCCTACCCAGAGCGTGCCTGGATCGCCAGCACGCACCTCGTCCAACGCCGGAGCCTTGCACCGAACGCGCTCCGACTCCAAGGTGCCCGTCTCGGAGACTGTCGAGGCTCGTCTCACCAACAAGGAGAAGTACCTCAAGCTTTTCAAGCTGCGCGAGGAAGGCGGCGACTACATTCAGGATGTAACTGAGATGACGAGGGTGCCAATCATCCTGAAGACGGACCTCAGCAAGAGCCCTCCGTAAGTGTCCCCCTACGAAACGTGGGTGCGTATACAAGTGCTAACAAAGGGTGCGCGACAGTTGCCTGACGATCCGGTGCCTGAACCCATACGCCCTGTAGTCGGCGACAAAGGTGTGAAATGTGAGGGTTTGTTGAAGATGTCTTGGGGACAGGGGGGCTGTGGTATGGTGTGGGGTGCAGAGTGGGTGAGAAGCGGGGGATGAAGGGTACGGAGTATCGTTAGTGATGGCCAAGGGCACGGGTTCGACAACTCGTGATGGTGTGGGCGTCGATAGCAGAGGATGTGTGGTATATAATTTAATATCAATGTGGCAGACGGGTGCGAGCTAGTCGCCGCCGAGGAGGCAGCGATGGCATCCGGGGCGGGGAGATGGCACAAAACGGCATGGGATACAGTCGAAGTAGCGAAAATTGATGGGATGAAACTTGGGAATGCTATCTCGCCGTGGGCCGTGGTCCGTCTGGAGTCGAGCGTGCGGACGACGGCATCTCGGATAGATTGTTTGATGAGCGTCTTGACACGAATGGCGCTCACGGCGGGGGCATGAAGCAGGCGTCGCTATCGGGACGAGGCAATAACATGGAATAATATGGAGGGACCCTGTACGGGGCGTCTAGACCAGAAACATGTTGTACTATTTCGTGCGGAACTCACACGAGGTGGGAAAGACGAATGGCAGAGATGTGCTTGACACAGACAGCGACGAGCGAGACGGACAACGAAGCCGATGTTGACGATTGCCAACAAGCTCCATGCCGAGTTTGCTTGTTTCTTCCCATTCGGCTCTTTGTTTGCTCTGATCAGGCCGGGTCTTTCTGCACCAGCGCCTAAGCGAGTCGATCACACAACGGATGCGTGTCAGGCAACGAGTCGGCTTGCCTACGCAGTCTTGGGGCTTGTCCCATCCCGGGCAGTTCATTGGAGATGGGCTGGGGCCTTGACACATTGGCGTGGTCCGCTTTGTGTGCAGAGAGCGATTGAACCCTTGCCCCGGGCTGAACTTGACCCTTGATGAGTCTCAGAGGTGCACCTCGTCGAGGAATCCCCACGGGAGGCCTATGGGCGCAACGCAGTGGCGGGGCCAAGTCGACGAGGGAAACGACGCGGATGCCGCATGCTCGTTGAGGGCTCACAGTCCGCCCCGACAACAGTGCTTGGCCCCCTCAAGTCAAGTCACCTAATGGCATGCGGCGGCAGGAACGACGCACGCAATTTAAGAAGGGGCTGCTGAAGAAACGCGCTCGTGGGGAAGGTGCGACAGCCACGCCGTGCGCACTGAGCCTTGGGCGATAATTGCACCTTGCAACGCACAACCATCGTCAGCGGGAACCCCCCCAGCGCGGACAACCTGCAACCGACACCGCACAGGCGAAATATCGACCTCAACCACGCCAAGCGATTGCGCGCCGCCGCCCCGCACTCGACAGCCAAGCTTCTGTCGGACACTGAACGGTCGGCTGGGCGCGCGCAAACGACGGCGCGGGCGGACGACCTGGGGGTGCAAGGAGTCGCGCCTCGCGTGTCAGAACCGTTTCGGACCACCTGACGTCCGAGAGCACGACGCCCCATCATGGCTCCCCTCAAGCCGCGCCACAGCTCCGGCACGAGTAACAGCCCTTTCCGAATCGATCCAAGGGTCCGCGTTCGCAGAGCCCATCTCTGCCATCAGGGGGGTTCCGGGCGGGGACGTGAACGTCGGCGCTGTCATGTCCGTCAACGGACCTGTCACCGGCACCGAGGCCAAACGGGCCTCCTTGGCACGTCTCCTGGCCTCTCACGACGATTGCGGAGCACGGATGATGGACGAGCCGCCCGGAGTCGTACATGGCCCTCCTTCTCCCCGTGGCGGTTGTTCGCGCTAGAGGGACCGGGTCGATGGTGAGTCGAGCTGCGGTCGACATTGTCAAAAAGGGACCGCAGTCCCCGACTCGCAAGCCCCGAGAGAAACTTCTTCTGGGCTGTCCACATCGTCTTGTTTCCCTCGCTAGCACTGTCCTTCCCGCCCTCCCACCGTCTCTCGCTGGTGTTTCTGTCTTCCGCTACCCTCATACAAACACGGGAGGGTCCCAAAAGCGCTGGTCTGCTTTGCTGGATTATACACTGCTCGCCTTCCCCCGGCGCAACGTTTGGCACAATAATTCTATAATATCCGTGGCTGGACCTCGTCTTCCTTCAATACAACAAGCACACCGTCGACAGCTGAGCGGTTCACGCGTGGACGACTGCCTAGGGCAAGATTCGAGACGCGACTTCATCGACGACAGGATGGTTTCATTCCACACAATGGCCGTTGCGGGCCTGCTGGCTGCGGCGGATGCCCTCCCCGCCTCATACCGACTATCGCCTCGGCAAATCAAGCAGTACGATATCGTTCCTCGGCAGAGCAACTCGGCGACGCCACAAGTCTTTTCAGTCCCCGACAGCTTGACCTAGTAAGCCCTCCCCTAAAGCAAAACGCACAAGGCCTGCGAGGCTAATCTGCATCCAGCCCTTTGGCATTGGAACAACTGGAGTTCAAGTTTTATCAGCAGGGATTTGCCAAGTTCCCTGACTCCGACTTCGCTGCCCTCGGACTCAACACGCAACAGATTGCGGACCTCAAATCCATTGGGAGCTCGGAAGAGCAGCACGTGGTTCTGTTGCAATCAGCTCTCGCGCAGGCGGGGATCCAGCCCATTCAGGAATGCGAATACGACTTCAAGTTTACCACCGCAAAAGACATGGTCTCGTTGGCGGCTGTGTTTGAGAACATTGGCGTCTCGGCCTACCTGGGTGCTGCAGGCATCATCGACAAGTCGGTGCTGACGACCGCCGCGTCCATTGTGACCGTCGAGTCGCGCCATCAGACAGCCATCCGCATCTTTGCAGGCCTCGCAGCAATCCCCCAGGCCCTCGACGTGCCCCTGAGTCCTCGAGCTGTCTTTACGATGGCTTCTGCCTTTATCAAGAAATGCCCGCAGACTTTGAACATCCAAGCCTTCCCGGCCTTGACAATGCAAGGCACGGAAACGCCCAAAGTCGGTGCCTCGGTGCGCGTGCAGGCGGCCTCTGGAGCTTCGGGCGCCAAGCACTGTGCATTCACGTCTGGAAGCGCACCGGTCGGCAACACCGTCTTCTCTGACTTCAAGGAGAACGAGGGCTGCGTCGTGCCCCAAGGCGTGGCGGGCGTGGCATACATGACCCTGACCAAGGAAGCGCCCGCTGATGGCATGCTCACGGACGACAACATTGTGGCTGGGCCGATGCCCATGGTTGTCACTTGAGGACACGATGGGGTCCTTTTTCATTCCCAAGGCGGGCAGGCAGAACGCGCGAGTCGCAGGCCATTGCCGCCGATGCACATTTGAGCATGAGGCACCTTGTTCCTCTTGCATTCTTATAGATACCTGAGCTTAGCTACGGAGCCACCTCTCGTGCAAGCTTTCGCAGCTGTTAATAAATGTATAACCGCGAACATTGTCCTGTTCTGGTAGTGAAGTAGAAGCAATAAGGGCGACGTCGCCAAGGAAGGTGTGATGACGGCCCCCTGAAATATCGAGGCTTCCATTGTAGCACGGTCGTGACAGACATTGTAGGATCTCCCGGTGCTTGAAAGGCCCAAGTGGATGTTGACAGTCCCTTATGGGGGCAAAAGGCGCCCGTGACTCCAGGGGTGTGGGATTTGTTTGATCAGCGCCTGTACTGATCGCGAGAATGGGGTAGACACAGCACAAGTTCAACGCGCGTCGCGACGGCCCAGCATGATAATTTGCCGAGGCATGCCGCGCACACTGTCGTTCGCAACCCGAGGCACGAAAGAATCGCTCCAAGTACTTCTTCTACGAAATCTGAAAAAACAAAATCCATGATGATACAGAGAACAAGAATACAGGGGGCAAGCCGACAGACACCGAGCCGACCTCCGAACCATTACTACCATCCACCGCGACAATCCATCCGTCCAAGCCCCTTCTTCTTCTTCTTCTGTTTTTTTCCCTTTCGCCACTGCCAGCCGCCGCTTCTGCCGCCTCCGATGCCGCCAGGCCTTTGAGCCACGCACGCAGCGCAGACACATACACGCACACGCACACACACAGAGATAGGACACAAAGAGAGACGGACAGAGGAAAGGACAGAAATAGGGTCGGTTCGCCCTTGGACGCAAGGTGTGCTGTGGTGATGGTGTTGGTAGTGGAGATGCCATGTACGTGCGTGTAAACGTATGTGCCGTTGAGGTCGTGGTTATCGGATGACGATGTCAGGGGCCAGAGAGAAGGGAAACGGGAACGGGAAAAGGGGGAAGGGGGGGAGGGTATTGAAGAAAGAAAGAAGAAGGGGAAGAAGGAGGAAGGTTGGGGTTGGCTAGAAGATGACGAGGACCACTGCCGCCGCACCGAGGGCGATGAGGCTGGTGATGGATGTCGTGGAGCCGCGGGAGACGATGACGGGTGGCGTTGGGTAGTCGGTCTGCGTTGGGAGGGGCTGGCGATGGGTGGTGATGCCGGTGCTGCCGGGGATGGTCGCGTTGCCGTAGCCGTGGCCGCTGTCGTTGCTGCCGCTGCCGTTGTTCTCGCCCGTGTAGCTGTCGTCGTTGGGGTCCACGGCGTCGTCGTCGTCGGCGCTGCCACCGGCGCCGCCACCTGGACGGGGCGTAGCTTCGGGCAACGCGGGCGCCGCGTCCGTGGCGCACTCGGGCGTGTCGGGCGGACAGCTGGTGATGGTTCGGAAAGTGGTGAAGTACTTGGTAGTGACATCATCATCGGCCGCGTCGGGCGCAGTGGTCACGGCAGGCGAGGGCGTCGCCAAGTCCGTCGGGGCGGGATCGTCTACCGGGCAGACAGTCGTATACAGCGGGATGGTCTCGGTCACGACGACGACACGTCCCTCCTCCGCGGGGCAGTCCGGCACGTCGGGCGGGCAGTGGGTGATGGTGTGGACCCTGGTGGTGTACACGGTGGTGGTGGTCAAGGTCGGAGCGGGCGTCGGCTCGGGCATGGTCGTCGTGGTCGTCATGTCCGTCTGCGTCTCGGTGACCTCGCAGACGGTCGTGTACAGGGCGATGGTTTCGGTCACGACGACGACTTGTCCCTCCGTGGTGCAGTCCGGCACGTCGGTCTCACAGCTGGTGATGGTGTGGACCCTGGTGGTGTACACGGTGCTGGTGGTCAAGCTTGGCGTGGCGGTCGTTGTATTTGACGAAGGGGTTTGCCAAGTGGTCTCGCTCGGTTCTGTCGGGCTGGGACTGCTCGGCGTCGTTGGCGAGCTGGGCGGACTCGGCGATGGTGAGGGGCTTGGGCTCTCCGGCGATGGTGGCAGCTCTAGGCTCTCCAGCGATGGTGGCAGGTCTGGGTCCTCCGGCGATGGTGGTAGGTCTGGATCTTCCGGCGAGGGGTGCCGGCTTGGGCCCTCCCGCGATGGTGGCCTGCTTGGGCTCTGCGGCGCGATCAACGCGTCGATCAGCCCCGGGAGGCTTTTGGCGGCCTGGGACGTCGCGATGCCCAGCCACTCCGAGACGGTGCTTTGGCTGGGCAGCTTGAACCAGCTGGGCCACCCTGAACGCTCCTCGGTTTTCCGATTCTCGGCAGGGTCTGGCTCCTCTGGGGTCTTGGGGACGGAGGGTATCGCTTCCCATCCCAAATCCACAGCCCGAGCCTTCGCCGCGGGCTCTTCCGGACTCGGGGGCATCGGGGGCGGGGCCGGGGGTCCTGTGAAC